TCGGCGTCCCCCATTTTTCACATGAAAAACAATTTAGGGTGATCTTAATTTTGTTGAACAAGTCTTGAGCGGAATTTGAACCCTCCTGACCAATTGTTCCTTCGTACCAACGATGATCACAACAGTTAATTTTGTCTATAAAATGAATCACCTCCGATTATTGTTGATATTATGCCAAAATCCGCTACTGCTCGACGATTCCATTTTAGTTAAAGATGATTGATTTTGAATGAAAACAACTAGTTAATTAATGACTAATTATATCACATTAAAAAATATTTTTATAAAATAATGACACGTGTTGATAAAACTAGAGAGAAATAGTTTAAAAATATTTGAGAAATATGAATTTTCAAATTTATTTAAAGATTTGAGATATTTTTTATACTACATGATAAAATTATCTTCAAATATTGATGATTTTTTTTAAAGTAATTGTTTTCTATTGTAAAAAAAAAGAGACAAAATCATCTGTAATAACAATTTTCAGTTGCCAAAGAGCAAAAATGAGATAAATGAAAAAGAATGAGATAAGAATGAAAAATATGAGAGAAAAAAATTTATGAACTCTGTTAAAAAATTATATTTATCTTTTTTATATTAGGTGTCAATACAACTATAAAAATATTTCAAATTAAAATTAATTTTATATCATAGGTAAGTTTTGAGATTAAAATTGTTATTATATCACATCACATCATTATTTCCGTTAAATCAATTGTTAAATCAAAACAAAAACGATAAGCATAATTTAAAAAAATACAATTAAATGATCAAAACATAAATAAAAAATAAGTAAATAACCAAATAATGTAAACTTATCTTATTATAAAGAAAAAAAAATCCAACCATAAATAGCAGTACTGGTTTCTCGGACAGATTTATTCCGAAAAGCGATCCGTTATAAGAACTTGAATCCCAAACGATGGTCGATGTTGTATCGTTTTCGTCATTTATAAAAAAACTAAATACGAAATCCAAATTTTTCTTTCTTTTTTTAAATCAACATTAAACAGTTCTTCTCTTGTTTTATTATCATTAATTATACTTTTTTTCTTATAATCTCACTATGAGTATCTCTTTATTGAAGAAGATGATAGAGACGATATTGTAATAAAATCGCTATCCAAATTTTCTATGGAATCAATTAATATACCTCATCAAATAAGGTGTTCTTTTACTTATTATTGGTTTAAGATTTTCATATTTTTATTGCTTCGTTTGTGCTTGGTCTAATTGTTGCTTGTTCAACTTCTCTTGTTGGTTTTTTCTTATGTGATAGGACCTAAGCAGATTATACCATACGAGCCTAATGATAAAGCCATAATTGCATTATATTAAGATTAAGGATGGGAATGGGCCCGAATAACTCCACTCAATTCGACCGTATCGGTTTTTTTTAAATTGGGTTCGGGTCGGGTTAAGTCGGGGTTTTTAGAGGTTGTGTTCGGGTCGGTTTGAGTTTAGGATGAAAAATACCCGACCTAACTCGAGAAAAACATATAATTTTACCTTTATATTTAGATATAGTTGCAATAATGTTCCTCAATATATTTTTGTCAATTAAATCCCTATTTTTATTTAATAAAATAATATATTTTTAATAAATATATTATTTCGGGTTGAGTTAGGTTGTCTCAAAAAGTCGGTTGAGTTTGGGTCGGATAAAGAGTGTATATTTTTCGGTTCGGTTCAGGTTTGAATGTAGGATGTATAATTTTTAGATCGGATCAAGTTGACCGAAAATCCGATCCGATCCAACCTGACCCAAACACATCCCTTATTAAGATGTAAAGAGATGAATAAATCCCATATATTCCAGTTTTGTTATCAACTAATCCATTACTACAAAGTTTGCTAAGGATTTCAATGAAGTAGTTAATATGGTTACACAATGAAAATTCTACATATAATTCATTTTTATATATTTTTTGTAATCTAATTACAATGAAATTTATTGTTTCTATTTATAAATTTTAGTGACATTTGGATTGTTGACATATATCAACATATTAACCATTAATTTTAAAAAAATTCCATAGATAATTCTAGATATAATATCAAATATTATAAATATCTAATTAAGATGTTGATACGTGTCAATAATTTAATGTCAGTAAAATGTTAAATAACATATATATATATATATATATATTTAAATTTAAAATTTTATTATTATTTAGTTGATTGATTTAATTTAATAAAATATTAAAAATTAAAAACTAAAATGATTTTTTATGAAAATTTTGAGTAAAAATATTATTAAGTTGTTAGGTCTCTCTTTGAATTCTCTTTAAGGGTAAACTGACCCATATGTTGATGAATTTTAGGGTAGATTTTATTACTTAATTTTAAAATATTTAAATTCAGCATAAACAAACACTAAGCCAATAATCTAGTCAGATGACATGATAATGTAACATTATTGTGATATTGGTGTAGAAGTGAAAGTAAACAAATATTTTTTCATGCCTTCTCTTTTTAAATCAAAGTTCCAGATTTTTTTATCTTTAATCGTTGTTGGAAATTGTCGTCTCATTGTCCTATATTACTTTGTCGGTTCAAATTATTTTAAAAATATTTTTAGAACTCATGGAATTAAATATCAAAAAATTTATCATTTTTGAGATCAGGATACTTTATTGGAATTGAAGGGTTGAAATGTTTGTTTAAAAATTAGTTATGATCGGTGAGCGTTATTTTAAGATGACAAATAATATACCTCGAATTAACCTTACCGAATGGTCGTCGGAGTATTAGAATGATAAACTTTTTGATGAATTTTCATCTTAAATGAGTTTTATGAAAAATTAATACAAGAAAAAAAAAATGAAATACAAATGTTTTGATACTAATCTTACTACAAATACCGATCAGTGATAGAATGATATATAGAATGTTATGCAGACTAAAGTTCACCGCTGTCAATTTTGAATGGATATTGATCAACAACGATTGTTCGTGGTACTGAGACATTTTGCAACAGTGATACATGCGTTATCGTTAAATAAGACGCTCTTTTACTCCTGCTCAGCCTGAGATTTTTACTGTTCCACTTGTGCAAGTTTGATTGCTGATTGTATGCATTCTCCACCTGGTTTTTTTCTGATGTGATAAGTCAAAACAGGCTACACCGAACCAGCCTGCCAAAGAAGCCATGATTGCATTATGTTGGAATGTAAGGGGATGGATAAGCCCCTTATATTCTAGTACTGTTCTCTACTAATCCATTACAACATAAGACTTGGATGGACTGACTTTAAGGGTCTGATGCGGTCTGGGAAAAACTTGAGTGTCTTCATTAATAGCACCGGTCTTCAACTTTATGCAGATACTTTTTCTCATCATTTACCAATAACAATCTCAGATCTGGTCTAATGATTGTTTTTCATGGAAACACACCTTACAGGACCAGTATGTTTTACCTTTGTGAACTTCTAAGATAAACTTGTTTCCACATAGATATGAGAAATCATCCTGTTTTAGTCCATTGCAAACGTAGGAAGGTAATAATCCAAATTCTGTTATTACTGTATAGATGGTTACATTTGTGTGGTTAGCGTGAGTTTTGCTTAAGGTTGGCTGATAAGAGATTCCTATAATCAATCAATCTGTGACTTTCGGTGCAGTGTTCATCAGTTAATTTTCTTGAGAAAGAACATTTTATGTTTTATTTGGATGTAGAAACTCATTTGGCTCTTAGCTTTCAGTGTTTAAGCAGTTGGATTTCTTTTTTTCCTATTCAGTGACAATGAAGGGTTGATTTCAATTTGACGGCTCTGAGCCTTTCTATTCTTAATGCAGATCGGAAAAGGTTAAGGAAATTGCAGGATTGGTCCTTGTCATCTGTCTTTGAGGAATACCGACGTATTGCAGGCATCAAATCCCAGCCTAAATATACGAGATTTGTCAAAATATTTGATGTAGCGTGCCTCAGACAGCACATCACAATCATTTATTGATATCATCAATACTGTTCGAAAAGGTGACGGTTGCTTTACAGAGAAGACAATGTACAGAAACTCGAATAACTTCGGTTTGAAAGATACTATCCATAATTGATTTTTACCTTACTGCTTGCAAAGTGTCTTGCACGGTGGGGCATTTGCCATTCGTATGTCTTGTATATAAGGAACAAAGAAATAATCTTCCTGATCAGCAACATATTTAAAAAAAAATTGCAGAATAAGATCAATCACATTCTAACATTAGACACTGTTATAGCATACTCAGTATATAAGAAACGTAGAACGGTGTAAGCTTAACGAATTGAAGCTTTCATCTACCCCACAGCAACTTCAATGACAAGAAAACACATCGACTCTCGAGACTTTCCCATAGAAAACATTTTCACACTCGATTACTAATTCTATCCCAACTTGAACAGTAACATAGCATTCAATGACAAGACAAGACAAGACTGATCACATTCAAATATAACACGAAATTATAATGAACTCATACATAAACAATGAAGAACTCTACCCAGAAGCAGCATTATTAACTCTCGGAATCACGGTACCTGCCACAAGGATCATTCTCGAGAGTTTTGAATACAACCCTTCAAGAGGAACATAAATTTCCGATCCGTGTACGTAAACATCACACTCAATTACTAATTCTATCCTAACTTAAGCAATAACATAACATTCATAACTCCAATTCCACTTGTATTAAAATTAACACTGAAAAACAGTAACTAGATGCATTTGTTCATTACCTGCATCCCACAATATGTTAACCAGAGTACCAGACAATTCGAATAGGAAATAAAGGAAGCACATGTATAAACCTAATCAGTAAATCATCAAATTCAAGCTCATATTCTCCATGAATCATCTCTTGGACTGAAACATCCAAGCACTTCAACATGTAAAATTCTCATTCAAGCTGTTATATTCTATGGACTGGCTAAAGAAACTAAACCTAGTTCTTATTAGGTGACATATAATCGTTTTCAAGGTTTCTAAGGAATAAGTTAATGCATGAAAAAAACCCCATATTCACAACTAGTTCATTGGAATTAAATAAAGCTATAACATAGTCATCATCACCATCACATTCATGATGGGCTAATATACATCATCATCATAATTGAGGTAGGCCTTATAAGGCTAATCCAATCTTTTTTTTACCCAAACCTACTAGTAAAGAAACCAGACCCAGATTCCAAAACAACCCCAAAGCACCAAATGTTAAAGAAAGCGGCTAATTTTATTAGTAAATTTCATTTTTTTAAGCTACCCCTAACACCAGGGCGAGGCTTGGAAGCATCAGCAACACGAGTAGCATGAAGGTTCACAAGCTTCGACTCCTTAAAGGGAATCTTAGGATGCTTGGAATCATGATGAATCTGCATCGTCTTCAGATCTGGGGCTGTTATTTTGCAATGGGGACACTCGAATTTGGCATGTCCACCCTTCTCCACCCCCGAACGGTCAGCTAATCCGGCCTTGCCGCCGCCTCTGTTGGTTGTGGCGGCATCAACCTTGGCTGCGATTTCCTTGGTTGTGTGCTTCTTGGGCTTGGCCTTGCCTGTCATGATCGATTGAACAACAAAGACAGAGAACCTTATGCGTTGATGATCAAAGAACTTGCTGCTCTTTTTCTTTAGCCTTTGTGTTTGGTAGGTAATGGCTTAATGGCTATAGGGACGACGATACTATGGTAAGGGGGTAAAAGTAGGGGAAATCGAGTTTTCCCCGTATTTTATTAAAATTTAATTTTAATAAAATTATAAACTTTAGTCTCATCAGAATCCGATGAGCAATCCTTCTATCTTTATAAATTAAATAACAATATTGTAAGGGTTTTCCCTCAAAAAAATAATTAAGGATATCTTTATTTTTATAATATTTTAACTATTATTTTGGAAAATATTAATATACTTTTAAAAATACTTTTTAAGATAATTCTTAACTCATAATCTTACGAACATCTAAATTTAAACCAATTGCGATTTAATATATTCAAACTCGCTAGTTATAAAAGTTTCTAATAAAAAACCAGTACCAACTCAATTTTAAGATCTCTTAAATAACATGTTGAAAATTTCAATTCATCAAAGATAAAAAAAAAATATTTTAAACGTGTTTAATAATATAAAATTAAATCTATCAATTAATTTTTAATTTAAATGTACAAAAAAAATATTAACTAGATAAAAACTACTTATGACATTATAGAAACACTTTTTGTTTTATTTTTAATTATATTATATATTTTATCAAATAATTTAATTATATTCAATTTTAATTATAATTTAAAATCAATATTTAATTTTTCATTATGCAAAAAACGCGAATAGAATTTTAGTTAGTAGATGATAGGCAAGAGCTAATTATTTTTTTTAAAGAAAAAAAAAGGATGAGATGCCCTTTAACACTTAATATCTCAATTTATGAAACAAAAATGTATTTCTTCAAGGAGTAATAGTTTTGGGCCATTAAAATTAAATAATAAAACAAAAGACAATTTCAACAATCATGCACAAAGCACTGGATCAACCAATTTTAACCTGTAGTATTTAATTTCTATGTATAAAATTGAAAGTCATATATAATCACATACTTAAAGTTTTAAGGTTTGTATAAGAAAAGCATAGATATTTAAAAGCAAAACTATATATGATAATTTAGCAACATAGAAAGAGCAAGAACCTTTGATTCTGGACAAACTCAAGTAAATCCAACAATTTACCAGGCTTGGGTAAGAATTGAACGATCTAGGATGGAAAATTTCCGGCGGCCAGCTGATATATTGATGGTGATGTTGTATTTTCATGGTCAGCAATGGGAAGGTATGGATCATAATGGTTATCGTCCTTCAGCTCCTGTTTGATCCCATGGAACCCAGTAGCATTGTCTTTGAATTGCTGCCCTGGAAGGAAAGAGTGAATTGGACCAGTTGGTTTTCCAACATTATTAATATCAAAACCAGCCAAATATAGATTTGCAGATGTCGGGAGATTCAGTGGCATCGAAATTGGAAAATTTGGAACTGGTGAGGCAATTGAGCCAGATGAATGAGTTGCAATGCAGTTTGTGTTCAATCCAAAGGAGCCATAAGAGATAGCTTTCCGTAAGGAAGGAAACTTCATTTGGTAAACAGAAGGCAGAGATGTCCCAAGTTTCATCTCATTGCTGAAATCCCCAAGAAAACTAGGTCTCATATATGCAGTTTTAAATGCAGCCTTTTGATCAAGAGGAGGTGCAATATCTTGGATCAGTGTTTCAGGCTTTAGAGCATTGGCATTTCTGGATAATGCCAGAGCAGCTTGAGTGTTAGGCACGGTTGGGGTTAGATTATAACCACTTGAGTTAACATGACTGCTGTTTCTGGCTGCTGGAACTCCATGGTTGTGTTTTCCATCGTATGTCGTGAGTACGCATTTTAGATTATGGGAAGCTCTTTCCACATGCTTCCTCACAGGACATCCAGGACTTGTGCATTTGTAGTAGCTCCTATATGACAACAAAAAGTTTTACAATAGGATGGTTCATTTTCAATTTACCCCTGCGCCTTTTGGATGGTTCATTTAGTTTCACATACAAAAGAAATTAGATGGAGCAAGAAAGAGAGACAACTAACAAGTTTTGATACCTAGGATTAGGGTTTCCCTTGACAACCTTCTGTCCATACTTCCTCCAACGATATCCATCATCGAGTATGTCCACATCACTTTCTATTTGCACAACAACTCTTGGTTCTCGGAGAGCCCCAGATGCAACATTCATCTCAGTCAAGCACGTTTCTGTCTTCCTGCAATGGGAAGCGGATAACAATGCAAAGTATATGTTAGTAAAAGTTACTAGAATTGTCCCAAGGAAACATTCTTTAACGTGTATACTGGTACAGTTATACCTTCTTTTTGACTCGGACTCATCATCATTAGCTGCATCATCACAGAGTGGTATACTTCCTTGGGTAGCCCTATCATCATTATCATCATCGTGACTAAAAAGTGTTGATGAAAACTCTGGAGCATCAGCAGATTCAAATGCACCAACAGATTTCCCTTGGGCAGTTGATCGCGGGTCAGAAAGATCAGTTACAACAGATGTTGAGGAGGTTCTTTCCATACCATCGGCTCTCAAATCAGGTGCAGGCTTAATATCCTTTGAACCAGCTAGGGAATTTTTCCAAATTAAACCAGCTTCAACTTTGACACAAGTTCCGCTGCCTTCTGTACTCTCTGACATTTCATTAGATGATAAAGAGGACCCAAGTGAGGGGCAACAAGGCTGAGGGTTTGGGTGATTATGTGCACCCTTGTAGATGATTTCAGTAATTTGGCCATCAAGTGAACGCTCTACCTTCTTCTTCACCTGACAATTTGGATGGGTACATTTGTAGTAGCTTCTTGGATATTCACTGCCCTTTACTTGTTTCTGTCCATACTTCCTCCAGTTATATCCATCTTCTGATGTTCTTGCTGTTCCTGCTGCGGTGTTTGTGCCCTTTGGATCACCTTCTGAAGGATTTGTGCCAACATCTTGTCCCCTGAAAGGAACTTTCTGCATTGAAATTTGATCACCAGCCAATCCAGAAGGATGGAATCCCAAATTAACATTATCATTCACAATGTTATTTAAAAGTTTGACTTCGGTGACTGAATCTGGTGCAAAACTTGTTGAAGTAGCTTCTTTGGAAAATTCTGCAGGAAATACAAGATCCAGAGGTGTATCCAAATGGACAAGATGTTGATAACTAGCCTCAGCCTTCTGAACCACATCAAAAGAGGAAGAAACCTACACAAAATAAATTGATCACTAACAGAAGCAGTGCTATATATGAAACGCCTAAATATGCACGGTGAAAAGGACTGTCTACCAGGATGAATCCACCCCCTTTAGAATTGCCAAATGATATGATCAAGCATATCAATCTTAACAAAGATCGCCTGTGATGGATGCTAGACATCAACTACTATACAGTGAATTGCAGGTTTAAAATTTTATCTGAATGAAATAGCTTTCGTCCTAATGATAAAAAATGGAAGTCGGGTTAATCAGTACAGAAAAATCTGATCCACAAGGGAACTGAATACTGATGTGATTAACTAGGCCAATCAACTTGCAACCACAACGAACAAAAATAACATTCTGAACTATCTACCTCCCTACCTAGAGCAAGGCTAATAGAATTACAAATAATTTGGATTTCAATTCAACCATGTTTCTGAAAGAAGAATATAGTTTTACCAGCAAAAATATTACCTTGTATTCCTATTTTAACAACCTTAAGTGTATTGCATCAGAGAAAGCTGAAGACTGACTAGCTCCTAAACCCAAAATAAACAAAAACTGACAATAATAGGGATATTTCGTCAAACATAAAAGAGAAGGAATTAATATCATGGAGAGCTGAAGAAATCTATCCAAAAGCAACTGTCAGCTGTTTTATAGCTGACTGAACATGGTATTGATCCCTAAAATTGGTCTGCTTAACTGGTCTTTCATTAAGAAACAAGAAAATATGTCAAAACAAATAGGAGACAAAAACAGCGCATAAATATATGTCAAAGCAAATGGTATTGATTTTGCTTAGTTGGGGCTGTTTGTTTGTCTAGCTGTAGTGGTAAGTTTTAGTTGGAACTGCATCGTTGGGTTTGGTTGTTATTCGGTGATTTGGTGCAGGTCCCATATTGATCTCCTGGTTTGGTTTGCCTTTGTCAAGATTACTCTTTTTCCTCCATTTTAGGGTTAGGGAGGTTTTCTAATGAGGTTCTTGTCAAAGTGATGTACCCCTTATTTTGATCTTAATAAAATAAGTTTTACTTTTCAAAAAAAAATGTTGAAGTAACAAATGAAGGTTGAAAAACAAGACATAGAAGTCAAGCTTATAAAGTTTTGCCTGCTCAGTTTGCAAATATGGAACCATCAGCAGGGATTAAACTTTATGACAAAGTATTACTAGAACAGAGGAAAATCACCTGATCTTCTACACTAGAAAAGCTTGGCTGGGAATCCAGATTCTGGGGTCTAAATGTGAAGGAAGGAGCTACATTGCTGCATCTGTCTCTGTTGCTTATACTCAGTACTTGACCACCCTGATTGAGAAGGGGTAGCGGAAAAGTTCCAGTGGTGGGAGATGGCTATGCAGGAAACAAAAGTGTTTAAGGACCATGTAAGTGGAAAAATCTATAGTTGAACAGAAAATAAAAACTTTGAGATATTAATTTGACATATAAAACACAAGGCAGACAAATATGATCCAGATTATAGAGAACATAATAATTAGTAAAACTTTCTAACATGCTTCGATTAATTTAATTGAGCTTAGTTATTGCCCAAAAAACAAAAACTTCTTTAAATATACTTGGTTAAGTTGTTCAAAGTCAAATAACACAAATCAAGTAAGACAATTATCAACAACAACAACAAAGCTTAAAAACCCTTTATGAAAATTCCAGTGATGGATTATCACCAGACAACCAAAGTATTTCCTTTTGGATGCTTGACTTTGAGGCTGTCAATGACAAGAAGAAAAAAACTGAACTGAAGCAAACCTCAAAAAGTTCCTGATTTGTAAACACCAATAAACCATGAGTTTTTCACATAATTTGTACATTTGATTTTTTTTATTAAAAAAGGTACCTTTTGTGCACTTTATGTTTCTTACAGATGTGCTAATAACAAGTAAAATCAAACAGTTCTACGATCACATTCCATTGGAACTAAACTAGATAAATTATCTCCTCTTGCCCAAGTGGAGTTTTAAATTCCAGAAAGGATTAGATTTAAGAAATAAAACATTTAGCAATCTTTTAACCCGATTGTATAGAAAAGAGAGGGAAAAAATAACACTTCTAATATGATTGCGCTATACGTTACTGTATTCAGTTCCCAAACTAATTAGTAAAAATCAGTTTTTAATTCTAAGAACATATTACAAGTTTAATTCATAACTCAATCAATTTTTCAACGATTTTAAGCGGGAAAAAATAGCAAAAAAGCCAACATGCAAACGCAGCTTAAAAGAGGACCTTTGCCACTAAAAAACGAAGCATAATTCTATGACGATCATAATAAAACACTTCATTTTCCTCATTAAAATTGTTTTCGTAGCATTCAAAGCTTAAATCATGGAACATTATTGATTAATAAAAAATAATAATACATAATCAGTGAAAAGAAAAAAAGGTGAAAAAAAATTCCAACCTGAGCATTGGGTAACATAACAGGAGAATCCAACAACGCTGTGGGGCTAATCCCCGGGGGAATGGTAAGGCAAGGTGACCGGACCGATGGGGACGCCAATGGACTAGTGGAGGTCCGAAACCTCGCCGTTCTTATCTTCTCCGCCTTGAATCCGCACGTTGCTGCCCTCCTCTCCGCAATACTGCCGCCTTCCCGACCACAAACGCGACCTCCACCTCCACATAGATGATCGACGGTTTCCGGTTCAACATTATCGCCATCAGACGTAACGGACTCTTGGAGGTTGGTGAAAACGGTTACATTGTGGTCCATGGAAGAGATGAAAAAGGAGATGGAGAGCTAAAAAAGCAATCAGCAGCGATTTAAAAATTAGGATTTGGATTTTACTATGATTGAAATGAAAAGCTAGAAGAAAAAAATTACAGAAAACTCTGAGTTGGTGTGATTCAGCTGTGGAGCTGAAATGTTCGCGACTGTTCAGAAACTTCTCAAGTTTTTGAATTGAAAAAGACAATTTTGAAATAAAAAAAAATTTTAATTTTTTTTAGATCGGTTTGCGGATTTATGTAAGTTTGTTTTACTTACCATAAAAAGGTTTATTATTATATTGCATTTTATTAAAATTTATGTTATTGCCATAATTTTTTTGAGGGAATATTATTACCATAATTAAAAAGGTAAACTACTCTTACGGTCCTTTTGCTTTTACAATTCTTTAACTTTAGTTATCAAAAACTTTTGGAAGTTATATTAAAATCCTTAAAATTTTATTGATACACTGAATCAGTTTAATCAAAATTCAAATTTGTGTTTCGTATAATATAAATTTTAAAATTAAAATTCTAATTAATTTGTAACAAAATTTTAACGAGCCACATCTTTTCTTTTTAAAAATTATAATAAATTGAAAGAAAATGAAATTTTTAATTAAATATCAAAGATCATATTACAAAATAAAATTATGTATTAAATTATTAACGAGATACAAATATTAAATTTATCCTAACCTAAATTCCGAATTACATTGCAAAATTTTCTTAATTTATCCACATGTTAAATTAATTAGTACTAGTGATCCTATATTTTAGGATCTTATATGATTTTGGCCATAAATTTTTAATACAAAACTTTTTAAATATCTTAACAAATTGATCTCAAACAATACTCATGATGTTACAGTTTTATAAATTAAATTTTTCATCTTTCATTACAAATATTCTTGATCAATGTAATAATTATTATTTTTTAATTGTTTGGACCTTTTGGGATGATTATAAAGTAGTATTTATTTAAAAAAAATTCTCAATCACTGGTAACGTACACACCTACAGATACAATTACTCAACCCTAAAATCTTTAGAGATAATAATATTTTCGTTAATCATTAAGTTCACTTGATGAGTTATTGTAATAAAATTCAAATATTATTTTATATTCATAAGAAATGAAAAAATATATGAATATATTAGACGAAATAATTTGATTGAATCGAATAGTAAATAAACATTCAGATATCTTAATGGTTTTAAAGCTACTATTCAATTATAACCAACTTCAATCGTGATTAATATTGTTGTTGTTGTTGAGGGAAAACGAAGAGCAAGAGGGAGCGAAGGAAAAGTTAATGCAAGAGCAATAGATGAAATAAATTTTTTTATACTAAGACTGTCGAAGAAAAATAATAGTTATTAAATTATTTATTTATAAAATTGATAATTTTATTATTCCAGTGATTAACTAATATTGATATCTCTTATTCGGTAATGGAATTCATATTTTCTTTCAATAATAAATTGTTTTTACTTATAATATAATTTTAAATAATATACATTACTTGTCTTTATTAGACTGCGTTCATAATAGAATCAAACCTTATTTTCATAAGCATAAATTATTTTAATTTATATTTTTAAAAATTTATGCATATTTAATTATATTAATAAGTTCAAATAAACAATTTAATTTAAAAACATTTAATATTTTTTATATTTTTAATGTAATGAATTGAAAATGATTATACATAGTATGATATTTATTAATTTAAAAATGTAAAAGGGAAAGTGAGATAAAACAAAAACTGCTCCTTCATTATTTGGCAATTGGCATTGCCAACAGAAAAAACCTCGTAATTATCACAGTAACTGGCCATGATATCTTAGGAGTCAAATTGAAAATAACAAGGGAAGTGTCAGTCAAGTCTGAGACACCAAAGCTCCCGCCCTTCATATTCATGGTTTGTTTCTCTATTTTCTTTAATATTTAATTTCGACAAATTTATCAGCGTTGATAATCGCAAGACAAATTTAGTTGCAAACTTTAATTTTAGGTAATTGAATCTGATTCTGAACCCCACACCTATATTTGGGGAACATCCTTGTTTTTCTCTGACTTATCCTTAGATTGTTTCCTTGTAGATTGTTGGAAAGAATAACGGGGAAACTCCTTTTTCTTTTTAATAGAATTCTCACTCTCTTATCCCATATCCACTCCTTTTCTTTTTTTCTCTTTCTCAAATCATCGCATGGTTCCTGGTGAGTTTAATTCAACCTCTATTTCTTTTTATCTGCTTCCTCTAAATGTCTGGAAAATTCGCTTTCTCATTGTTTGTTTCCCTTTGTTTAATGAAGGTCCCTGGAAAAATGTACGGCCATTGTTGATTGAATGAACCAGTTTTGGTTAAATGATGTTTTGAATTATTCTGGAATTTTTTGTTCGAATGTTTATGGTATTTAGTTGGATTCTATAGATACATTAAACAGATGTCTTGTGGCGTTGAACGAACCCCTCTACATTCTCGTAAAGTGTCAGAGGTAGGAAAGGCTAATAGGTCCAGGAATTTTTTGCAGCTCGATGGTTATAGAAGATCATCGCAGGTTACATTACTTTCTTTAATCTCATGCTAATTACTTCAATTCATACTCTTTTACTTTGTGATTAAACAGCTTAAGTATTTTTTTCTATTAAATCCAGGATTCCAGAATTTCTTCTTTCAATTTGAGGAACATAGATCAGAGGTAATCCATTGTACTTGAATGTTCTGCATCTTCAAATTTAAAGTGATTCACCGGAATTTGCTTTAGGTTGCTTTTACAACTTGAATTTGATTTCGCATCAAACTGGGTAATGAATTTGAAATTTAACTAGTGTTTGGATAATGTTTAACCTCTTCTCCTAAATTCATATTCCCAAACATGAAAAATATTCTGTGTGCTTTAGACCATAATTATCTTTCTGTTTGGGGAAATGATTGTCAAAATTATTTATATTGGATTTTTCTTTTATATTTTAAAACTAAGGAATTTTTTTGACAACTCCTTCCCCTTCCCCTTATCAAAATAAATAAATAAAAGTAGGGAAATTTTTAAATAGATTTTTCTCATCACATAAGCTATAAGCCAAACCAGTCAAATTAATATAGGGAAGGTTTTTTTCATTTCATACTTGCATGTAAATATGAATTTCCATGTTCTTTAAAAAAAGGGCAAAAAAGGGGGAAAATATTCATGTCATTCAGTTAATTTTATTGGTTGGGACAATAACTTAGAGGGGGAAGAGTCTCTAATATGTATATATTTTTTCCTAAAAATATATAGTTTTTATACCCTTGAATCTAGGAATATCATCACAGCATATATTTACACACACGCACACAAATCCAACTTTAGATACTCTATTAATGAGTATTTTAAGGTAATTTGCATTATAAATCACATAAAATGTCATCAATTTTATGCAAACTTTATTAAATAATTTTAATGCAAAAATCATTTGAGCATGCATATCTGACTTGTTTTCTGAACAAAAATCAATTTTGGGGTTTCAGTATAAGTCATGTATGCATTTTGAGTCAATTTTTCCTCGCAAACTAGACAAAATGTTAAGGCTTATTCGGTTTCTATTCACATTGATATTCTTGTGTTCTTCCATAACTCGGGTGTAACACTAACTTGTAATCTCATAAATGCATATAAACCTTGTGTGACTGGGTTTATTGCTTGTTAACCTTTTAGGTGTACCATATTGACTTTCCCAACACTCGAGTGTAATGGGCAGTGGAGAATTGTTGCACTACCCTTGCAATATTTTGATCACACTAACCGTTTCGGAAATGGGACTCAGGTCAATATGAATAGCCTGCATCTGGTACCCTCTCCCTCCGTTAACCCATTTAAGGTTAATGGTCGGGAGACACAGAAAGGGCCTCAACCTGATCAGATTACTTATTCTGCGAAGCCTTTTAGAACCAGAAGCTTGTCGGGCTCCAATGTGCAACAACAATTCCGCAACAGGTCCATTGCACATAAGATGACTAAATCGAGTGAAATGTCATACTGTTCTTCTCGTCATAGTTCCATCACTTGTTATGATTCTTCTGCTGTCATATCAAAAGGATCCAATGCTACTATGTTCATCGATTGTTCTGAGGAAGACAAGTCTACAAAGAGGAATGCACGGAAGAAGGCAAGAAGGAAGGGGAAGCATAAAAAGAAACATTCGTGTGACTTTGGCTCCTCAGAGTCTGAGGTTTGTGTGGAGTATGCCTGTGGAAGTTCAGCATCTGAAATATGTGGTATGACATTAATTCAGGATCACATTCAGCTTCACCACAAGTTTCACCATTTGATGTTTTGCTTAATATAACTGATCGTTTTGCAGAGAGCAGCAGTGGTGTTGTTACAAGTTCCCAATCACAAAATACATGCACATGTGACATTGATGAAGTGGATACATCAAAATCTATTTTACCTTCTCAAGCTCAGAAATATGGGGAGCATATAGATAGTTCTGAAATCAGTAGCGAGGACCTGCAACAATCTAGGTGTCAAGGGGATATAGAGAGGAGGCATCCTTCACATACGGGCTCTCTTGTAGGTATACATCAGAAGGATTTCTCAGACAAGCATGATTCTCTAGTGTTGGATTCAGTTTCTGTTGGTTCAAACAGTGAAGAAGGGATGAGTTCGAGTGGTGGTCATATTGTTAATCCATTTCACAACCACCACCATGAAATCAGTCGGTCAAAGCTACCAGGTTCGGGTACCAAGAAGGGCTCCTTGTGTCTTGAAAACTCATTATGTAGCATTTCGAAAACCTGTCATTATACTGAGGAAACAAAGCAAGGGCTGGCTCGTAGTTGCTATGATGGCCGAAAGGCTGCATCAAGAAAGCAGGATAAGCAGTTTAAATCTGTTCCTGGGAAACTTGGAAGTATGGGGAACCGGCACAGTCGAACAGGAATAGAGAACGGTCATTCTGTTTGGCAGAGGGTCCAAAAGAATGACGTGGAGAAATGCAACGCTGAAATGAAGAAAACAAGTTCCATCTGCTCACAGTTTGATGCTATTTTAAAGGATGCTCCATTGCAGAAAAGAAATTGTAACGCTGCCAGTCTAGCAACCTTACCTATTACTGAAGACAAAAGGAAGTTGAAAAATAAAGTTCCTAGGAAGTTGAAAATAAAAGTTAGTACTAAACAAGAAAACAGAAGTTATTCGAGGAAAGAGACTCTTCCCAACAAGGTAAATTTAAATGCTCATGCAAAGACTAGCATGCCAAAAAGTGGAATATTGGATGACTTAACTTCTCTGGATGACAATGGTGCAAGTAAAAATCATTCAAGGTCTTCTTCTCAACTTGGTTATGCAAGGGTTGAGACCCTGAAATCTGAATCTGTTAGTGACTTTGAAGTTGTTCCAACCTGCACGGAACCATGTGAAAGTGTCTGTGATACTGAATCTGGTTTGAATAGTCGAGAGAGCTTAGGGAACTCATGTGTCCCTTTGCACCGGTCAGATTTGCTTGAGATGAAAACTCCAGTTTACCTCCCTCATCTGATGGTGAATGATGTTTCTCGAACAGAAAAAAAATTGGTTGCTGAAAATGGTAAACAAAGTCATAATTTGGGGCCTGCTCTACAGAAATGGATACCTATTGGGATAAAGGAATCCGGATTTACATCTTCTAAATCTGCCAATTTGTCATTGGAACATTCTAATGGACCAGAGGCAGAAGATGGGACTCGTAAAAATACCTTTGAAGAGAAATTTGCTCCCTCTTCTAAGAATCTTGAAAACGGGAACCATATTCCAAAGGTGAGGAATGTGAATTCTAGTATAAATGGAAAAGAAAACAATCCAAATGGGGCTAATTTGACAGCAGGTGCATCTGATTTAAACAAGATAGCAAAGGCATTGAATGATGGCTACAGGGCACAAATGGCTTCTGAAGCTGTTCAGGCGGCCACTGGTGACCCCATTGCGGAGTTCGAAAGGCTTCTTCACTTTTGTTCTCCAGTCATTTGTCATTCAGACAGTTCAGTAGGCTGTGAAAATTGCTTGCTGGATCAGGTTCCTAGTGCTCTATTGTGCAGACATGAGACACCAAAAATGCCATTGGGATGTCTGTGGAAATGGTATGAGAAACATGGCAGCTATGGATTAGAAATAAGGGCAGAAGATTATGGAAATACAAAGCGATTAGGCATTGATCAGGTTGAGTTTCGTGCCTACTTTGTGCCGTTCTTGTCAGCAATTCAACTCTTTAAGAACAGTAAAACTCATTCTAGCCCTGGAGTTTTAGAGGCTTGTGATACTGATCCTACTTCAGCAAACTCTACTAATGTCAATCAACTTCCAATATTATCAGCTCTTGTCCCACATCCACAGTCTACAGAACCGAGTAGTCAGTCTCAAGTAAATGATGTTAGATCTGCAGTTTCTCCTAAAGATGTCAAATCTGTTGACATGGAACTAGTTTTTGAATACTTTGAATCTGAGAAGCCTCATCAAAGACAAGCATTGTATGAAAAGTAAGTGCTAATTTTATGTCTTTGATACTCATCAAATTTGATGTATAAACAACAATTTCGTTCCAAAATCCTCCATCCTGAATTTTTTTGTTTCAGGATACAAGAACTGGCTAGAGACGATGTGTCTCCCAAGTGCAAAATGTATGGTGATCCAGTTCATCTCAACTACATAAATATGCATGATTTGCATCCTCGATCTTGGTTAGTGATAGAATATGCTTCACGTAACATAAAAGTTAAAAAAAATGTTCCTGTTTTATATGAAATCTCTGTATTACTCTTTTAATGTATGGTTGCTTCTATATTTCAGGTATTCTGTTGCGTGGTATCCTATATATAAAATTCCAGATGGAAATTTCCGTGCAGCATTTTTGACTTACCATTCACTTGGCCACTTTGTTCGTAGAAGTTCCAAGTTGGATTACCCTAGTGTAGATGCATGTGTAGTCTCTCCTGTTGTGGGTCTTAAAAGCTACAATGCTCAGGTACCAAAACTAATAAAACCATGCATTTGATGTCTCTTGGACCAAAATCATGTGCTAGTTTTGCCTTAATTGCTTATTTATATATAACCATGTGCTAATGTCTTATCGAGATATCAAATCTTTTAAACTATGATGAAAATATTGATTAGATTTAATGTGCAAGCATCTCTTCCATTAGGTATCAAATCTTGTTTGCTGCCAATGATTTTTGTAGAGCATGTATTTTAAAAGATGGTGTGGATTGTTTGATGGTAAATGCACATAGCATGAACAGGGTGAATGCTGGTTCCGGCCGAGACACTCCTCGACGAGTATTACCCATGAAAACCAGGGAGTAAGCCCTTCAAGAATACTGAAGGAGCGATTAAGGATTCTGGATGAGACAGCATCGCTTATGGCAAGGGCTGTTGTCAACAAGGGAAACCGGACATCGGTAAACAGACACCCCGATTACGAGTTCTTTGTCTCTAGGCAACGATAGTCACTCATGTGCAACTACTCACCAAGTAACCTGTTTCAGCTTGTCAAATAGTTTAGCTTATATTCAGGTAGAAGCTAACCTTGATACTTGATAGGGACTTCAATTCATAGTGTTGGTTGGTCAGTATTTCTGTGCAGATGCTTGTATGACCGGGTTCTTTTATATTTGTTTTCAAGGAATATCTACCTTTTCTCATTTTACTTTTATTTTTGGAGTAAATTTAGTATCATATTTAATTTTACTAATGTTGAATATCTACATTTTTTTATTTTATTTTTGGAGTAGATTTAGTATCAAATTTTTAATTTTACCTACTTTGGTCTTAAAATGTTTGGAAGGACATCATTTGGCTTTCCCCACCAAGTATGCTGTCCCCCCCCCCAACACAAATTACGATGCTTTTTTTGTTGTTGTCAATTTCATAAGTAAACTATAGGTGCTGAATTTTCTCTCTAAATTTATATTATATTTTTTGAACTTATAAGAGAATGAATTATACTACCCACACCTGATTTTGAACTTATTTATCAATGAATTACAATACCATTTTGAATCATGGATTATTAAATTATTTATCTGAAAAATAGATATCTAGTACATCATCATTGTACAGACCGTCCTAAATTATCGGTGATTTTATTAAAATCTTACCGACAATTTTATCAATTACTAGAACTTTCGGTTTATTTTCTTAATTAATTTCTCACCATCCCCACTTTTTTTTTTCTTTCGACGGCAATATTTTCTTCATTTAACCTATTCTAGTTAAAACTAGTTTTCATTGTGCGAGGATAATATTAGATTAGCATCTATGAGAAACTTAATTGTATGTAAAATATAAATTAATATTTGATGTATTATTATTTTTAAATAAATCACTAATTTTATTCAAAATAGAAAATATCCTAAATTAATAAAGATTTATAATTATAATCGTAAATTAAGCACATAATTATTACAATTTCCTATAATAATTGAAACAAAACTAGCAACTTAAGATCACATAAGGATCATACAAGGAAAGATTAAAATCTAACCAAGAAAACTCGAACAAATATATAGATACAGACATATTTGATTGCATCGGCAAACAAATCACATAATAAGATCAAGCTACTGAAAGACCACTGACAAACTGCAAATCACACTCAAGTGATGTGAAAAGTTATCCACGAACGCATAGCAGGTATCTAAATCCAATCCGAGGGTCCAAAGCATGGAAGATAAACAATATATCGGTTAAGCGTCATCTTGATCAGTCGTAGCGATGTCTAATTAACCCTTAAAAAAAGATAAACGAAAACAACGATCAAACGACCAAAAAACGTACCATAAAGATAGTAAAAAACACCATGCAAACAGAGAAAATCGTGTCATACATGCAGACTTATTAAAAAAATAAGAAAAAAATATCGACGGTCGATAATCAATATTAAAATTGATGTTGCCGTCGATTAAGAAAAAAAAATGAATGAATTATCGATTAGAGAAAATTAAGCCTAGAAAATACACAATTATGTTCTAATATTTGATATACTATTAATAAAAAACAATATCACAAACATTATATATATATACACAAGAAGTGGGGTGACAGCCTGTGGTGGGAAAAGTGGAGCCAATATAAAATCACAATTGAAAAACGTTGCTTTTACTTTCAAATACTAAACTTTATTAGTCAATTATAAAATAATTATAAAAAATAATAATGTCAGATCAAATGTAACAATCTTTGACTTTTAAACAAAATATCATATTGTAGTAATTAAGCACGTGCGAGAATAAATAAAATATACGCATGGCATTTTTTTAGATAGGTATAATATAGATGCCTTTGATAACACGCAATTGATCCTATATTATGAAAATGTAATATTAATCATCAAGGTTTTCTCTACATAAATAGTCTTAATTCATCATAATATAAATTTAATTATTCATTTAAATATGAATTAAAAATATAAAACAATAAATTAAAATAATTTATGAAAAAAATATTAATTTAATTAATCATAAATTAATGTATCTTTGTGTTTTTCTTGTTTTTAAATTTTTAATAACTCTGTCTTTATGACACATTTTCATATGTTTTTGTAATACGTTTTTCTCTACATTTATGACACATTTTTAGATATTTAAATGTTGTTTTTTGTTTATTCTTTTTCTTAAGGTTGAATTTGACATCGCATAATTGACCAATATAACATTTATTTGTTATCTTGTTAAACTCTGCTTTTGGATCTCAAATTGGATTTTGGATACGCGTTTTTTCTTCGTAAATAGTTTTTTCATGTCAATCGACTCTGATTTGTGGTTTTTGTCTGATATTTTAATAGTTTGATCTATTTTTGTGATTCGTTTTCTTATGTAATCATATATATTTGTATCTACTTTTTGTTCAAGATTATTTGATTAGTTTTTCTAACATTTTCCTTGCATGGTCTTTGGGTGGTGTTAAGTGACTAGTTTTCTTGTGTTTATGATCATAGGAAAATATTCTTATTCAGTGTTTTACGATTACAATTGTAAACGTTCGTTATGATTTGAAAATTTTATATTTTTAATAAAATTAGTTATTTCTATAATATATATATATATATATATATCCAAAATTCCAAATTTATGATTATGACCTTTTAGTGCATATTACATAATTTTCTTTTTATTAATTTTCTTTAACGGAAGTGATTGTCTACAACTATATAAAATTTAAAATAAAATAATATCTATTTAAATACATAATATATCAAAACCATATATATGGATATCCTATTATTTTAAACTCTTCCAAATTTAATAATATTTTTGTTAAGTACTAATAAAAAATGTTTTTTTCTTTTTGAAGTTAATAAAAATCGAGTTTTAAATAGTTTAGGAACATAATTTCCCATGTTGATAGTTGACCATGACTTCATTTTTATTTATTTTTATGAAAATGTCAGAATGATATACATTGCAATATTATGTGGTAAAATAAAACTAACATAAATAAATATCTAGACAACATATGCAAGAAAAATACAATGGTAAAGAAATTATTGAAACTACATTTAATCGTAAAAATTTCAAACCTTTTTTTATAATAAATTAAAATGAAATTCTTTAAGAAAATATTATAATGAGATATTCAATACAAACAACCTAGTTAATATAATTTTCCAATTAATTTAACTTTTTGGGTTTTGGTTAATATAAAAACAAAAATAATCTCTTAGCTAACATTTGTTTTTTTTGGTAAAATACACCAAAAAGTCATTGAACTAAGTTAAAATTATCTTTTGGTAAGCAAACTTTCAACTATTATAAATTATCATTATATTTATCGAATTATTATAAAATTGTCATTAAACTTATCAAATTGTTACAAAATGATCATTTTTCTTATTGAAACTTATTACTATTTATAACGTCACATGAATCATTTAGTAACAGTTCGGTGAGTTTAATAACTATTTTGTAACATTTGAAATTTTAATAACCAAAGGAATCATTATAACATATTTCAGTGACTTATAGTATACTTTACCCTTGTATTTTCCCTATAAATATCTCTAATTATAGTCTGTATGGTGATTGAAGAAGCATTAGTTCTTCAGCTTCTACAACATGGGATCATCATCATACACAGAAGATGATTTAAGCACCTTAGATCCTTCAACGATCTATGTCCAGGAGCTTGTAAAAGGAGGAGCATCGATCCCAATCCCTCAACAATTCATACGTTTAAATCAAGAACCACCTCCTTCCTTCTCTGTCACCACCGCAACCCCAACCGTTGACATGTCTCGTTTGCTTTCCGAAGATGACCACTGCCATAATCTCGAGCTCCACAAACTGCACTCCACTTGCCAAGATTGGGGTATCTTCCAGGTTCTCCATTTTAAATAATGGTCATGACATTATAGTTCGAATTCGTTGTTATTTTACGGTTTCGGAATCTTGATTGTTATGAAAGTTTGAGAAGAATTAATGGATTTTCGCAGCTGGTGAACCATGGGGTTAGCTCAACGCTGCTGGAGAAACTGAATCATGAGGTTGAGGAATTTTACAGGCTTCCTTTGGAAGAGAAACTGAAATACAGAATAAGGGAAGGTGAGTTGGAAGGGTATGGTACCAGGAGCAGAGGAGATGGCAAGTATGATTGGGTAGACACTTTTAATATAGTCACTAACCCTGTCCATAAACGAAAGCCTCATCTCTTCCCACAACTCCCTCCATCTTTAAGGTGTTACTCTTTGATCTCTTGGTGTGTGTGTGTGTTTTCGATATTTAATGTTTGATGAAATCGATATCGCATCATGCAGGAGTACGATGGAGTGTTACTTATCGGAACTCCAGAAGCTTGCAGCTAAACTAATATGTTTAATGGGGAAAGCATTGAAGATCGATGAAAAGGAGATGATGGAGTTGTTCGATGACGGGTTGCAAGCGGTGAGGATGGCTAATTATCCTCCGTGTCCACAACCGGATCTGGTGATGGCCCTCACTCCTCACTCTGATATCACTCTTCTTACTATCCTACACCAAGTTAATGGAGTGGATGGCCTTCAAGTTAAGAAAGATGGCCATTGGTTACCTTTCAACTTCATCCCAGATGCTTTTGTGGTCAATGTTGGAGACATTTTCCAGGTTAAATTTATCCCTATGTGAATGTATATCCTATATGTATGTATGTGTCTGTGTTCACAATTGTAGAGGTTACTGATAATGCAGATATTTAGCAACGGGGTATATCACAGCATTGAGCACAGGGTTTCGGCTTCCAGAGAGAGAGAGAGACTGACAGTTACCTTCACCGTGCTTCCCAATTCCGAGGCAGACGTCGGGCCTTCACCGAGTCTCATAAACGAACATAACCCTCCGTTATTCAGAACAGTGGGATTGGAGCAATACTTCAATGATTTCTTTACCCGCAAGCTCTATGGAAAAACATATCTGGACCATATGAGAATTCAAAATGGACAACAACGCGCCTCTACATGAACTTGTGTTTTCATTGAATAATTGTATATTTTTAATGAAAAAAACAAACAAAAGGATCAATCTTGATCTTAAGAAAACTGATACGAACCAGGAAATGTTTTTGATATTGTACTCCACTTTCTATACAAGTATGAGGTGCTATAAAATCACCTAAGGGTACAACTTGACAAATAATCTCTTTTGATTGTTTCTTTTTAACATTTTGAATATTATCGAGTGGTTTGCAGTAATTTTTACTTTTAGTTTGACAAGTACCTTTTGCTTTTTTAAGCTACAAGCATTGGATTGAGGCACCGTTTCTGTCTTCAACTTTTCTTTTGGTCTAAATTATAACCTTTTTTTATGGTTAAGCCGTAATTCATAACCTGTTAAACGCTACAGCTTTTGAAACACTGGATTTGAAAAGGAAAGATTTCTGACCTGACACCATCTAGCCTTGGTCTTGTTCCTATTTGTGCACACCCATTTATGTAAATCACCGCACTTAGTGCACTGTATAAGCCTTGATTCTTCAGAGCAATGATCTGGGCTGAGTTGCTGAAATGAGATAATGGTTGAAGAGTGAAGAGAGTGTTATTCTTCTTAGAGATTTTGAGTTTGAGTATTTACGCTTACATGGTGTATGTGCATTATCAATGATTAAGAAAAATTCTGAACGAATACCATCTTATAATCACGTCTCATTCTATTAAAAATATATAGTAGTTGAAAAGTATAAATTTTACACTATTATACAACCTAAATTACCGACTCAGAATCACATGAATCAGAAATAAGAAACAAGCTTTCGCACACAGCCAAAAGCCAGTGACCATAAAAGACTGAATATTGATTGCCGGAGGTAAATATTACCTTCGTGTTGAACAACCCTTAATTAGATAATAAAGAGACCAGGAGATTTCATCACTGTGACTCATATATTGGTTTTTGCTCGAGAGCACAAAGCTACTATAGACAAGTTAATTTTTTCCCCATTTAGAGATGTCTATTTTTATTTAAAAAAAAATATTATCAACAATGAGTTGGTCTGGTGAGATGAAGTTTTAGATCTTTTACATCATACTAAGTTTAAATCATGATGTTTGTGAATAAAGTAAATTAAGTTGGGAAAGTTGTCCTCATATCAGACCTTTAAAATATACAATCCTTATACCAAAATATTTATTTCATACTTATTTTAAATATTGGATAATTTAAATTTTAAATTATTTAAATTTAAAAATTTAATATTTTTATATTATTAAAATAAATAATTTTATTTCTTAGAAAATTTATTCTCATCCTATAACAAATTGATCACATACAAAACAGGAAAAAAAACTAATGCTGCTTAAGTTGTAGTTAATTATGGTGAATGAAACTGTGGGACACGGCTTCCTTATTTTTTCTCAGGAGAATTGGTGCAGGTAATTAATCGGCTGTCTTCTCTTTTTCTTTTTATTATTCTCGTTATTTAACATAAAATAAAATATGTTTTCTTTTATTTTTTCTTATTCTTTGAATAATTCTTTTTGAAGTAATTTTACTCTTAACAAATATTAAATTTATAATTTAGAGAAGAATATACATATTAATTGAGAGTTTTAAACCACATACTTTAAAAATTATTAATACTTTTTTAGATTAAAAGGAGACGGAAAAGTCATAGTTAAATAATAACATATTTAAGATACGGTGAACTCGAGATGTCACGATCCAAGAGTTGAAAAATTGAATCAAGAACAACATCAAAGATAGACAAATAAAATTTAGGGCAATTGTAATATTGACTAATCCCATCGGACACCATGTATTGTTCTCGCAATCTTCAACACTGGTTATAAAATAAAAATGTTTGATTACTTTTATTTTCTCTTTGATTACTATTATAACATGGATTATAATAGTTGATTCGTTTGATCAATACTTACTACATTCACGGACAAGTGTTAGATAAAAAAATAAATTCAAGCTCTTTTTTAGCTTATAAATTCAAGTCACTTGACTTTTTTACTTCACTATTAAAAGTTACAAAATCGTCACTTGAGTTTTTCATATGTTCTAAAATCGTCATTTTTTATTAAAAAATTAATATTCGTCTGAGTTGGACGTTGATTGAGATATTATTAAATTATATTTTAATAATGTCTACTGACACCATCGTTCCCAACAGTATAATATAAATAGGGAGTCGATCCATAAAATACAACTCAAACGATTATGAGATCAGATTTTATCATATCTTAGTCAACAAGTTAATGTTTATCTAAGACGATCGCTAACTTTTTTAACGAAAAATGATGAGTTTGGAACAAATGAATAATTGAGTGACCATTTTATAATTTTTAATAGTTAAAATACTCAATAAAGCATTGTCCCTATAGTGGGGTACCATTTAATGTAATTTACCCTTTTTAAAATAAATGTTAAAACCCAGAAATCCATAAATAAGTGAAAAGAAAGGTAAATGGGGAAATTTTCAAAAACAAAATAAATGAATTAAATAACAATACGAAAATTGAGTTATATAGTTTGGGGTCAATTTTGGAATAAAAAAATATCAAAAGAGGCGAAGTTATCCTGATGCCGTGCTCCTCTTAAATTTTCATTTAATCTGTAATTCTAACGGAGTACCTTGTTTTCTTCCATTTTCATTCCCGTAGCTCGCTTCTCTCTCTCAAGTCCCAGCAGGTACAATCTCAAACCCTCCCCTTCTCTGGTTTGTTTTTTATTTATAATTATTTTCTGGGTTACTGTTATTTTCTTCAGGGATGAAAGGAAGCCCTTATTGTTGGTAGTTTTTGCTTTGTTGGAATTTGGTTCTTGTAATTTTTCTATATTATCCGTTGGCATCTTTGTGTCTTTTGTTTGGTTTTGATAGAGAAATTGTGATCTCAAAGCGTAAATTCTTTTTGTGGACTGTTGTTAATTTCAGCAGCTGTAAATTATCATGAAGATTGAGGCATAGTTTTTATATTTTGCTATATTATCCGTTGCCGTCTCTGTGTCTTTTGCTTGGTTTTGGTAGAGAAACTGTAATCTTAAATCATAATTTCTTTTTCTGGACTGTTGTTGATTTCAGCAGCTGTAGATTAACGTGAAGTTTGAGGCATAGTGTTTATTAATTTATTTCGCCACATTTTCTCGAGGGTAAACAAATATGGAAGAGAAGTATGAAACTCTGAAAATTATTCAAGAATCCCCTAATTCAGGAGTTTTTAACTTAATCATAAACCGCCCATCTGTCAGTAATGCACTTTCAATCGATTTCTTCAATGAATTCCCAAAAGCCCTCAATGAGCTCGATCATAACCCTGCCGTCGCCGTTGTAGTTCTATCCGGGTCCGGCAATCACTTTTGCGGAGGTATTGACCTCAATAGCCTCGCAGCTATCGCCAACAATAACTCGGGAGATCACGGCCGCATTGGGGAGCGGTTACGGCGACATATCAAGTTCATGCAAGATGCGATCACCGCCATCGAGCGTTTCCGGAAGCCAGTAATCGTGGCGATACACGGTGCGTGTCTCGGCTTGGGGATCAATATCGTGACGGCCTGTGACATAAGGTATTGTAGTAAGGATGCATTCTTTTCTGTCAAGGAAGTGGATGTGGGCATCACTGCTGATCTCGGTACCCTCCAGAGATTGCCTGGGATAGTAGGGTTTGGGAATGCCATGGAGTTGTCGTTGACGGCCAGGAGGTTCTCGGGTGAGGAGGCCAAGGAATTGGGTCTGGTTTCTCGGGTTTTCGGGTCAAGGAAGGAGCTGAAGGAAGGCGTTCGCACCATCGCAGAGGGTAAGATAACCTTGTGATTTCCTTATCTATCTTATTTCAACACTCTTTGCAGATAATTTAGCGTAAATGCTGAAGCGGGTTTGTTTGAAATGGGACGGCAGGAATAGGGGAGAAGCCGCCGCTTGCGGTGGTGGGAACAAAAGCGGTGATGATAAGAAGCAGGGATGTGAGTGTGGAACAAGGGTTGGATTATGTTGCAACTTGGAACTCTTCCATGCTTCTGTCTGATGATCTAAACCAGGCGATCTCTGCTTATAAACACAAAAGGAAACCTACTTATGCTAAGCTTTGAATTGTATATTTCAGTGTTAATAATAAGAACTTCTGAATAATGGATAGGAGGAGGCCAACTCTATAAGGCAAGTTGAAAGTAATGTAGTAATTATAGTCTTTAAATTGATGTTTAATCTAGTTATATATGTCAAATCTCTTTAAGAGATTATATCGTGGTTAATGCGATATATTTCAGTTGTTTTTATTTATATACTATATTGTTTGAACTTTTCCCTTAATTTTTTCTAATATAAGTTTCCAAGAGATTAATATAAAATTATTATTAGTTATATAAAAGTTACATTTTCTATTTCATTAACAATATATATTTTTTAATCTATAAATAAAATCATGAAATCTTCATCAATTATTTATTTTTATCATTAAAACAAAAAAATGGTATATATATTATTAATCTAGGATAAATACAATATAATATTTGTTTAAAGACAACTCTCAAATTTTTAACAATGAACCCTCCTACGTTTCTTATGCTCAAACTTAAAACCTTAAGAATTAATAATAATTTTTTATCACCAAAATTAGTGATGTTTAAATAAAAATATTTGGGATCTCCGCTCTTTGTGGCAAGTTTCTAGGGTTTTATTTTATTGTCTCTCTTCTTATATTAAATTTTTTTTTGACGGTGGCGGATGATGAGTAGACGTTGACTATTGGTATGAGCATTATTTTGTGGGATCACTTTTTCTGCAAGTATTGTGAATTTTTAATCTATTATAACATAATATTAATTTTAAAGATTATTAATTATTTGATAGTAAATGTTTAAATATATTTATATATATAGTATATAAATTAGAGATTTTTAATAATAATAATAATGATTTTTTTAATATTAAAATCATTTAAATAATGATCTGACAGGGGATCTCTATTTCAGATATGGAAAAAGGATATTCCACTTCATCCCTTTAATCATCTGTTTCGTTGTTATATGTAAATTTTTGGGTCTTGGTAAACGATCTTCCCCATGGTTTCATGTAGTGGTATGAGTCGCGAAGAGCACCGGCGAGAAGAGTTGTGGTGCCAACCAGTCGATGGTTGAAAATGGAAGGTTATGAGCTCGCTAAGTTGAAAATGGAAGGTTATGAGCTCGCTAAGTTGAAAATGGAAGGAGTGGAGGTTTATATCCCTGGGATGAAAAACAAGTTGCAATGTAATGTAACCCTTCGCTCTTATTCCATCCCCAATATTGATGTGATTATGGAAGACGACTCAGATGAGAGGAGGTGACGATGGATCTTCTAAGAAAACTGAACCATCTGCCCGAATTTGCAGAGCTTCGACAAGGACATAAAGTAGCCGATGGAATGATTAAGGTGGCTTAGGCACTCTTACACAAAAATTGTAATGTAGGAAAAGGAACTTTTTGTAAGATTATAAAGATATGTCGTTTATTATCGAGTATATCAATATTAGTTATAATGGTATTTAATGTTTACAATTATAGTACAGTGATTAAATTTGAAATATGATAAAGTACAAGGAACAATGGCATAGTTTGACCCAAAGGAAATACAATTAAGATTAGGTGCAGCTTTCCTCGTGGCAACGCCATAGCCACAGTTTGAAGGGGAGTGATGAGTAAAGCCCAGCCACACGTAAAAGGGAAGGGAGGAGTAAAACCCAGCCCCAGCCCCAGCCCCCCGATCACTGCTCAAAGAAAAAGAACGGTCAATTCACACTCACAAGACCCCAATTGATTAGCATCACCGTACGTATACGACACCGAGTGAGACAAAATGCAAAACACTGTCGCCCAGGTTGCCGTGGCGGGAAGCGGAAGTATCAACACTGCCTACAATACCCACTTTCTCTTTCTCCCCATATTATTCAAAGTTCAATTTTTTATCAGTATTTTGTTAATAATGAAAACTTCAAATTGGCAGTTTCGGGCGCTGTTTGTGCTGCTACATTGGCAAGGAAAGAAGTTTCAGTCACCCTTTTTGATTCTGCTAGAGGCCCCGGTGGCCGCATGTCTCAAAGAAGGTTCCTTTTCCGTTTCTCTCCATTTCTTATTGTACTATTATTTGCTGTTGTTTTTGGGGAAACAAAAAAGAAATTTTGAAGTACATAGATTAATTAATTGTTGCTATAATTATATTTGTGTTTACAACAATTAGGGTAGTATGTAATCTTGGGAACCATTGTCAATTTAGGGAGATTAGTGAAGATGGGAAAGAGCTGCTGTTCGATCATGGTGCTCCTTATTTCACAGTGACAAACCCCGATGTGTTGAGTGTTGTTGCCGAGTGGGAATCAAGAGGCCTTGTTGCTGAATGGAAATTAAATTTTGGGACGTTTGATTGTTCCACCAACCAATTTGTCAACGCTGAACCCCACAAGCTGGTACTGGTATCTGTTTATTTGCTTGATTTTATCTTTAACTATATATCTTGTTCATGAGTAGAGGGCAGTGATCAGTGATGTTTTCGAATTGTTGCTTTTTTCCCTTCATCTCGTGAGAGCTTACAACATTATTCTTATTCTGAAGCTGTATATGATACTGTTAAATGTTAATGATCCTTGCTATTGTTGCTTCTTAAGTGATTGCCTACTATCGTTCTTTCCAATTTTCATGTACAGTTCAACTTGAATCGCTTGTGTTTACCACTACAGTTGATTGTAGGCTTCTTTCATGTAACCCTTCATCACCTTACAGGGGTGGATGCACTAAGCCCCCTAAGGGTCAAGTGCATCCCATTATTTAGGGGAAAAAATGAAATTTAGTATAATATGTTAAAGAAAAATGGAAAAAATAAAAATTTTTGCAACCCATTATTTTTAAGAAAAGAAAATTAAAATTTTAGACCCCTATTTATAAATTTCTGGATCCGCCACTGTCACCTTAGTCTGTTAATTTGATTGTATTATTCTTTCAGGTAACCCTTGTCTTGCATCCAGCGTTCCTTAACATTTATCATGTTTTTCCGTAAAAATAAATGTGAACGCCATTAAGCTTTCTTGTCAAATAAGTTTTGCTGAGCTGATTCGTTTTTAGGAGAGAGAAACCAAGAAATATGTTGGCATGCCTGGAATGAATTCCATTTGCAAAGCCTTATGCCACGAGCCTGGTGTGTAGCAAGACTGCTTTGTTTTTCAACTCCTTATTGAGGTTGGATTTACACCTAAATTTCCATGCTTCCACTTTATCTGTTCTTCAGGAGTAGAGAGTAAGTTTAATGTGGGTATCGGGAAGTTCGAATGGTTAGACCACAAGAATTTATGGTCAGTGATGAGTTTGGACGGACAGCATCTTGGTCATTTTAAGGCAGTGGTTGCATCTGACAAAAACATTGCTTCCCCAAGGTTTACAGCGGTTACAGCACAACTACCCCCTCTTGGTATGAAAATTTACGCATATGACCGTATACCATGTCATCTTTTATGCAACCATGGACTATATTTTCACAAAAAGTTCTACAATAATTCAGGAATAACTCAGATTATTAAAATTATAGTCTTTTATTTATTTGTTTGTTATTTTTCAAGGAAAATATGCACAAAGAAGAATTGAATATGTTATTGTCCTCACTTTCATCTGCTGTATTCCATACAGATTTGAGTTTGGCTCCGGAGTTGGCGAAACTGCAAAATATTCCCGTTCATCCTTGTTTTGCTCTAATGCTAGTTTTCAATGATTCTTTGTCTTCGGTGAGATAACAGAGTATCTGCAAAATTAACCAATGTGCTTGAAGATGCATATATATATATATATTTGCAATTAACCAATGTGGTGTTGACATCTTTTTGAAGTTTTACAATTCAGGTACCTGCAAAGGAGTTGTCATTCACCAATTATAAGGTTTTAAGCAGAGCATTCTGTGAAAGCAATAAGCCAGGGCGCTCTTCCACAAGGCACGGTTTTTGTATTTTGCTTACCGACTTATTCTGAGTCAAGCGATTAGAGTTTCGTTTTTGGCATATTCTTACGACACTTGCTTCTTGAATGTGCATGCAGCGAACGATGGGTATTGCTTTAAAAAACGGAGTATGCCAAGGATGTGATTGCTCAATCCGGCCTTGTGAAACCTTCGAAAGAAACACTATCAAAAGTGGGCAACGAGATGCTCCAAGAGTTTCTCGGCATAGGGCTAAGTATTCAACAGCCATTTTTCATGAAAGCTCATAGATGGTGAGTGAGTCTAACTGAAAAACGCGAAAATCATCGCATTGTCCTAATTACATTGATATCGAATATTGCCGTATTGTTAGGGGAAGTGCCTTCCCAGCAGCCAGCATAGCCGAGGTGGAGAAATGCTTGTGGAATGAGAAGAAGAAACTGGCAATCTGTGGAGATTTCTGTGTTAGTCCCAATGTTGAAGGTGCGATTCTCAGTGGCTTGGCCCCTGCTTCGAAGCTGAAAAGATTAGTTAGTAGCCTCTAATATATGAACAGTGTAATAAACTTTGCCTTTCTTGTATTCGAACTCATAATCTTCAAAATGTTACAATAAATATCTGTGTCCTTCCCGACATAACAAGAACTAAGAATCAATAAATGGAACACAATGTCACCAAAAAAACAAAACAAAGTCTAAACATTTCCCACACACATTCAAAAGAGAATCAAACAAAAGGTAAAATAAATAAATAAAATTTGAGCCAACCCTCCAGAAGGCAAAAGCTTCAAGCCTTCAACTTCCTATATATAAAATACATTCCCCCTACAAGTTTCATGTACTCTACTACTCTCTCCTTCTTCCCTCTCTTTTTTTTAACATTTTTTTTCTTTCATTTCTTCCAAATCCTAAACAAAGCCGAACCAAACCCACAGCCTAAGAACAAACCGAAAAGTAGAAGCAAAAACCAAAGCTGGGTTGCAAGTAAAAAAAGTTACCCTTCACTTTAGATCTCAAATCTTATGAACCAACATGGCTTCAGCTTGTGTTAACAATATAGGTGTCTCGCCTGACAGTTTCCAACGATACGGTTGGTTGGGTCGAAGGATGTCCTTGAGCCGAGAAGTTGAGCCTTCTAAGACTAGACCCAAGACTGGTCGGTCTAAGCCTACAGATCTTGTTGAACTAGAGATCCAAGAAACTGCACCAGCTGGTGACTTTGAGTTCAGGCTCGAAGATCCTGTCGCCATGCTTCCAGCTGATGAGCTTTTTTCTAATGGTAAGCTCCTGCCTTTACATTTCTCGACACTCAAACAACAACAGCAACTTCCATCGTCTAATACCAGGTCCCTCAAAACAGCGAAATCTTTTCCAACTATGGAAATGGATCCATACTTGTTTTCTCCCAGAGCTCCAAGGTGTTCCAGCAGGTGGAGGGAGCTTCTGGGTCTTAAAAAGTCTTCCCAAAACACTAATCAACAACACCCAAAAACAGAGTCTCAAGGCCCCAAATCTCTCAAGCATTTTCTCCATAGAACTACAAAGTCTTCATCTTCATTGAATCTACCACTGTTGAGAGACTCGGATTGCGAGTCGGTTTCCATATCTTCATCAAGGTTATCCCTTTCTTCTTCGTCCTCAGGCCACGAACACGAAGATCTCCCGAGGCTGTCACTTGATTCCGATAAGCCCAGTCCCAACCCGTTTGCCCCCTGCAGAAATTTAAACCCGAACCCAAACCCAACAAGAGCAGGACGGTGTCAGATCCGGAGGGATTCATCGACAAGCAGGGGAATATCAGTGGATAGTCCGAGAATGAGCTCGTCGGGGAGAATCGTGTTTCAGAGCCTAGAAAGAAGTTCAAGTAGTCCGAGTAGTTTCAATGGTGGTCCCAAAATTAAACAGAGAGGAATGGAAAGATCGCATTCTGGTAATGTAAGGATCACACCAGTACTTAACGTCCCCGTTTGTTCATTGAGAGGATCTTCAAAGTCAGGCTTAGTTTTTGGATTGTTTTCATCTTCCCAGCAAAAGACTGCAAATGGAGGAAGCAACAGCAAAGGTCGTCAATGTAACAGCAGAAGCTAATTACATATTTTCATGTGATAATTTTATCTGTCATGGGCGATAATTACCATTAATCCCAGATTTTCTTTCTGTTATGAGTAAACAGAAGATGTAAATAATTCTGTTGTTACCCTTGTTTACGGACATGGTTGACTTAAGGCTCTTTTGGAGGCTAAGCGTAAGGTTAGTAGTACGTATTTTGAACGGGAAAAAGATGATGAAAGGCAAGGCTGGTTACAGCTTGAAATGAAAGGTGGCCTTTTGGTTTTTGTCTTATCGATCTGATCTGAATGATATGGAATCTCTGTTTTTTCCTGTTCATTACTTGACGTACTGTGCTCTATGAGATGAGAATTTTTTTCATTTTCCTTTTAACAAACTGCGACGGATATGCGAAAATTTTACGCCATAAAACCCCGACACAGAGAATTTAAGTGAAGTAATATTTTAGTGGTATATTAAAGGATTAAAATGTATATATATATAAACTTTATTTAAAAGAAAAAATATATATTATGTATGTTGAATTTACGTATTTGAGAGATTGAATTAGAATCAAATTAATTTTTTTTTTAAATAATATTGTTTGATATTTGTATAATTTAGGCAACACTGGTTTTTGAGGGGAATGGGCATTGAGTACGCGCTGCAATGGAAATCATGATGTTTTCTTTTTCCTCTAGTCTTTGGTGATAATACTCATTTTGCAGCTTTAAGTTTAATCTAATCTAATCTACTCTACTCTACTCTACCCTACCAAGTCTCTTCATTGTTTTTTTTTTATATTTGTAATTTTTGAGTTTGTTATTTAATGTGGAGTTTTGGAAATGATGCTTTGCTACTAATATTTAACTCCACTAATCAAAATGTATTGATTTCTTTAATTCTCAAAATATGTCGATCCATAAATCATTTTCTAATGGATCCAACGAAATTTAAATGAAAAGCAATATATATACAAATTAAACATTTTATCAACAGATTATTAGTTCAATGATAAGCCTTAATGTCCATTTCAATACTTTTTTATGTTAAAATAAAAACTAAAACATTAAAAACTTTCTAATAATAAAAATCCTCAAACATAAAATTATCTCCTATTTTTCTATTCATCTTCATCATATTCTCTGTTATTATTACTATTACGTTCTGTTTTCTTTTTTTGTTGATTACTTGTCCTATTATGCTTAAATTTAGGGTGGCAAATGGACCACATGCCATTAACATACGGTAAGATGGCCAAACATGTGGGATATCTTCAACTAATACTTCAATTATTAAGATGCTAAGTTTGTTTCCATCTTAATGTCATATTATTATCTGTTCCATTGCCCCCACTTGTTTTGTTTTTTCCTTTCTCAATTTATCCATAAAAGAATAACCCCGGCCACCCACATTATATAGGGGAAGAGTTTTAAGAACAAATTATGTAACAATAAATCTAAATTTAAACAGCGGATTGTGGGTTTTCCAAATTGCTATCGGTTCCCTATTACACTGATCTTTTTTTATTAAACTTAAAATTTAATTGATGTTAAATTTTAGTTTCGGTTATCGAATAATTAAAAAAATAAATTATAAGTTTTTGACATATAAATCTTGAAATTTATTTAAATTAAAAAAAATCATCTCAATTGAACATTCTAACTTAAATTTATGACCTTTCAAAATTTTGTATTAAATTTAAAGTTCAAACAATAACATAATTTGTTTTTCTAATGCACCATTTTACTTGAACAATAATTTTTTTTTGAAATACAATTTATCAAAATGTCTTTATCTTTTAATATAAATGAACAGTCAATTAATCATATGCAATGTAGAATAGAATTACATCTTATTAGATGTATCTTTTAAAAGATGTGATTGATAAGATATATCTTTTAAAATATTTTTATAAATAATATTAAAATATTAGGGGGGGAAATCTCATATTTCTCCCACTATACTGAAAACAAGAAAAAGAGGTTTGTAAATATAGCCGAGAAAAATCACTTTATAGACTATGTAATGATTATACCGTCGCCATTTTCATATCACGTGGCATAAAAATATAATATAATGTAAAAAAAATAAGACATAAAATAGAAGCTAAAAGTGAAAAAGAAATGGTTGAACAAAAAGTAAAAAGGTAAGAATAGATGGAAAAGAGAAGAGTTGGCGCGGTTACTTTCGATTTGATATTAGGATTAGGCCGGTGATTAGGGATAGCCATTTTCGATTTTTTTAAGTTGTTCAGATCCAGTACAATATGAAAATAAAATTAAAAACAATGTTGTTTTAGTTTGAGAGAATTAATAATTTTTTTTAAATAAATTTTAAATAAATAAAAATATCGTAATTTAAATATATTTTTGAGTTTATAATTTTTCAACATTTAGACATCATATAATCGTTTAAATACACTTTTTTTTACACGTAATTGACTCTCTAACTCTTAAAAATAAATTTTTGATAAAACACGTACTATTTCTCGTCTTTTAATGATTTTATGAACTCGTTAAAATGATATTTTAGTTATTTAATCTATATAACTTAAAAATTGATGACAATTCAAATATCAAATTGTTTCAAACTTAAATTTTATCGTCTTTCTCCAAATTAATTTTTAAACCTAACGAAACCGCGAGAAAGGCGTTATGAAACTTTTATCAATCCAATCCCGCCGGAGATAGGTGTAATTTCCATTTTTATAATTTTATTTATCTTCATCCATGGCTCACCTTGCCCCTTGGATTGTGGGATCAGACGGTGAGCCTCACATTCATATTTTACTAGTTTTATTACAAGTTACAGTGGGATGCAGACGGAATTATTGCATTTGATGAGGTATTTGGGGAATTGAATAGTAAAGGCAATGAATAACGATGTTTGGTTTGACCTGGTCAACCTGCTTCCCTCATTGGAACTACCCAGTCCAACACCAACCCTCCTTGTTTGCTTCTCACAAATTACAACTTCCCGCCTTTTCTCTTCTTCTTCTTCCTCTTATATTTTGTATTCGATTTTTTGTCTTAAAATTATAATAAATATGATTCGCATACGGTTGAGTTAATTTTATTCAACTTATTATTAATAAATTTAATTTAATTTTAACCAATATAATATAATTATTTTTGGCAGTTCAATAACCCATTGCAGCCAAATAAATGAACATTAGCAGGGAGAAAGAAACAATAATAGGAGGCAGGGTGCCTGCAAAGCCTGGAAATGGGGCATCAATGAATGAAACAACGTGATTTCCTGCATAGATTCCCAGTCTTCCTCTATCTATTTCTGCAGCATTTGCCTCCCTCTCTTATAAAATTTTATAAATAAAATTCTACTTTTAGCATCCCCACAACGCCTTTCCTTAACCAAATTTCTCATCAGTCATCAGCAAATGTAGCATACAAAAATAAATGGCACAACACTTGTGTTTTTGGTTTTGGTTACTTAGATTTCCATTGCTTATTCATATCAACTATTTTTTATTAAATATACAAAAATAAATATAATACATTTTAACATAAACGTATAATCATTGTTTTAAGAGTGATGATTGGGAGATATCAAAGTCTTGACTTAACATTAGACATTACGTAACAAATAATTTCCTTCAAAAATTCATTTTGTAAAATGGTTCACCATCAGAGCATCGACATTTTCTGCTAAAAATGTGCACTATGTTAATTATTCGGCCAACGATAAATTATCATAAAAATAAACGAAAAATATATTACAAAAAGAAGTGAAAAATCACAACACTGGTTTGTGAAAAGTAAAGAAATCTAATACAGAATTTTTTTTTATTTAAAACTAAAAAGAAAATCAACCACGACAAGAAAGCCGTCATCAGAGACAATACTCTTTGAAGAAGAAGATTGTAAAAATCAGTTTTAAAAGAGAGTTGAAGTAGTGGAATTTTGATCCCTTGTCAAAGTTAAGTGACAAGTTAATGGAATAAGTTGGTTAAATCGATTAAAAGATTAATCAGACCGATTAAAAAAATACAATATTCACCTCTAGCATTAAGGAGATGAGATCATAAACTATTAAAATATTACATTTTATTTGATAAATTAAAAATAAAGAAAAATGTGAACATTTGGCAAGTGTACACGGATGATGGTCATATCCAAAAGTAGATATAATTTTGAGTGGGGTTGGTAAAGAGCATGGGCTAGGCCCCAAGGAGGAAGGGCATGTCAATTATTTGGGTCACGTGATTGGATTGGTTTCAATTTGGATTCATCATAAGTATTTTATTGCCTTCACAACTCCCACTCCACTCCATTCCCTTTTCTTTTCCCCATTATTATCAAAAAATGAAAATTTTCCTCACCCCTATTAAAAGATGATTATCCAGTTTCATTTTAAATTTTAGATCATATATGTTTTTTTGTATGTAATTGTATTTAAATTATATATTTATCATATATATTATTTAATTATATTATATTTAAGGTCGATAATTGATTTTCTTTTTCTTTTCCTCCTTTTTCATGTAATTTGAATTATGTTATTTCTCATCTAATTAATCTTTCTCTTCTCGTGTGAGAATGATGAATAATTTGTCAAATTTTTAATTTTTTTCCGAGGTTTGATTAGAATTTGTCTCTCTAGATTTAGATGACGTTTATTTGATTATTATGTTTATCTACCTATCAATATTTTGGATCCTCATATTATATATTGATATATATTCATAATCATCAAAGATAAATTACAATCGAATTATGAATGATGTAAGTTTATCAATTAATCATAATTGTTATATACATTTTTATATTAGTGTTGATGATATCTATCATTTATAACTATTTATAATTATTCTTTTAATTATTAAAATAATATGGATATATAAATAATATGAATTTAACAGATCATTTAAATTTAAAATTAAAATTTTATAATATAGATTCATTCGTTTTAAATTCAATTCAACTCTATCTGATATGAAAAATCAATCAATAGTTATATACTATAGTCTTCTTTTACTATAGAGAGAGCATATGATTTTGTTTGGGATAATGCAGTCAGAAAATGAATTTGTTCATACGGGTAATGTAGATACTATTTTTTTCCAAATAGGGTAAATATTAGAGTGCCAATAAGAAATCGTGTGAATCATTTGATGTCTTTAGAAAGACATACGACGCCTTCAACAAAAACGTAATAAAAATACGATATCTTTTTATATTCGTTATAGGGATGGCAAGCGGGTACAATTTCGTAGATTCCGCACCGCACCCGTTTCAATTGGATTAGGGATGGGTATAATTTTAGTGGGTAGTGGGCGGGTGTGGATTTAGAAAGTAGTACCCGTCGCGGGTAGTGGGCAGGTAATGGGTTTGAGACCTTACCCGCCCCGCATCCGCCCGCCCAACTAAATATCTATTAAATTTTGGACCATTATGAATTTAGGTATAATTTTAATAGACTAATTTATAAATCCTAATATTGTATAAGATATAACTTGTAATTTAACCAAATATTAGGGATAAGTTTATGCATAATTTTTTTCTTTCAAACCTCTCGTTACTGCGCCAATCTTTCAAACTTCTGGTCTCTACTCTTCAGCTTATTCAGGTACGTTTCTTCCCTTTTTACTTGAAATTTAATTTTTGTAAGAATCATTTCCGTAGTCATTTCGTTTTAAGCTCCTATGCATTTTATTTTAAGAGTTTAATTTTTATTTGCTCTTACTGATTTTTAATTATTTTTTAGATTTATCTCAATGTTTGTTTTAAGCTTAATTTCTTAATATTCTACAAATCAGTATCTTGTGACTGAACACTCACGTTTTAGGCCAACAGAGTCAGATCGTTGCTTCTCAAATCTCCATTTTTAACGCTACTGAATAGAATTAAGTGTTTCACTCGTGCTTCTCAAACCTCCATTTTTAACGCCATTGAAACTGACTTTTTCAAGTTCAAATTTCAACCGAGTATTTTGTAATACTGGTGTTTTATAAGAATGATGATTGTAATACTGGAATATCAGATGTCACAAGTATTGCTTGAAATTTTAGAATGTTGTGCCAAAGAACAAAAACATTATGCGTTTGTCATTTATGTTTCTAGACTTTTATTGTCTTTTATTATGATGTTTTATGTACTTTAAGATCTATATTAACACTTAACTCAGATAATTTAGGTAGATATAAAAATGGAAGAGGGGTATCCACACCCAACCTACCCCCGTTTACCATCCCTAATTCGTTATCATGCTTGTTTTTCGTCTTTCCAAGCTCCAGCAATGATGTTTGCTAGCTCCTACGCCTTCTGCACCAACAACGGCCCAAATAAGTTCACTCTTGGTTAGCTCAAGGACATCAACAATGATATCACCCCTTTTGCATCAAATGTCGAGAATACATCAAATCTTTTATACGTCCTTATGAAGATGTCAAATGATCTATACGTTTTTATTATAAATATTACCTTAAAAAAATAAAACTGGATGATCCTTATTTGGAGGATATTTTTCTTTCTTTCATTATTTGGGTGATTTTAGCGAGAGAATATAATATACCCATTTTTGACGTCACAACTCTATCATAAAAATCCTTAGAAAAGAAATTTCAAAAGAATAATTAAGTCCTTAGAAAAAGAAAATTGAAGTGAATACCAGAGCCTTTGCAACGCATCAATGTTGCTCAGCTCCAAAATATCATCACTCCCTTGTCTTCATTCTCCAGCCCCTAATCTCCCTACAGTCCTCACCAAATCTTTACCACCGTACTCAAGAACGCTAACTGCCCCACGGAAAGGATCTCGGACACCGCGCATCCTTATCAAGGTCTCGTCGTCGTTGTCAGAAAATCTGGGGGCGGTCTTCGACATCGCATCTAAACCGCATGATCAGGATGCAGCGGAGGTTGTTAGGAGGTTCTACGCAGGAATCAACGGCCGTGATCTGGCGTCGGTGGAGCCTTTAATAGCGGAGAAATGCGTGTACGAGGACCTTATATTCCCCCATCCATTCACGGGTCGCAAGGTAACTGAACATTGTAGCTAACCACTCAATTTTCCATTCCATCCGTGCTCATGCAAGTTACGCGATCATTTTTTTCTCCCTATTTTTCCTAATAAAAAAATTAAATCTAGTTGAATAGATAAATTGTGGCAAGTTTTGAACAATTAATGAAAAAGAAATTGTGTTGTACTTATAAATACAAACACAATATTTTATTTATTTATTCTTCATTTCCTTCAAAGATAGTTTTTTAGTTACTTAAATAACCATTCAATAGTTTAGTTTTGCTGCTTTAACAATTGTGATTGATATTAGAAACTTGATAACATATAAATATTGGATGCGTTTTAAATACAATTCCTTATAATTACAAAGTGAATGTTTCATAGCTAAAAATCGGAAGTCTACTCTTTCATAATCTATTGAATTGTTGTGAACTGTGATTTCTTGTTGTTTTTAATTTTTCCTGGAGATGAAAGATTAAAGGAAATTGAATGATGGTATAGGAAATTTTAGAGTTCTTCAAGAGTTTCATGGATTCAATTAGCAAGGACCTCCAATTTGCTATTGAAGATATCTCTGGCGAGGATTCATCTGCTGTTGGAGTTACATGGCATTTAGGTAAATCTACCATCTTTTGCAATTCTTTAAATAATATCTTAGAGAATATTTTGGTTTCCATTTTCTCCTTTGATGAAATTGTTTATTACATGCAATATTGAATTTAAACAGAATGGAAAGGAAAGGTTTTTCCCTTTAGCAAAGGCTGCAGCTTTTATCGGCTAGAAATTGTGGATGGCAAAAGGCAAATAGTGTAAGTGATGAATTATTTGATTTAATTTAGTAATTCCCATTTTCATTCCTTCTTGTAAATGCAAATTTCTTGGCTAAGAATATAGTTTCGCTTTTGTTTATCAAGTTTAAACTGAAATAAAATTCGAGACTAAATTTCTTTGAACAGATATGGACGAGACGTTGTTGAACCTGCAATCAAACCTGGGAAGACAGCTTTGGTATGAAAATCAGCCTTCATTGATAAAACATTCTTAAAGCCTAATTTATCCCTATTTTTTAAAAAATATTTCGAAAAAACTCGTGTCTAATACTTGTGTTCTTTCATATTTGAATAATAACTCGAGATATACCCTCTCTAGATATACGAAAGAAGTTGAAAGAAAAATCTAACATACTTGTGTCGAACACATAATTGTATCCAACAAGTTATTGTTTTATACTTTTGGGTATACCCCAAAAGGAGACCAGATATTACTATCTCCTAAACAGGTCTGTTGTAGATAAAATGTAAAGGTGGAGGTAGTTTTACCTTTGCAGATAACATGGAATCAGTTATTACGTTTCTTGTTATGATATTGAATTGGGATAAATTTTCATTACAGGGTGCCATCAGGGCTGTAACATGGGTGTTACAACAATTTCCTCAGTTGGCAGATCAGCTATGAATATAACTATGCTCTATGCTGGGGTATGAGAGAGCATTCAATTGCACTACAAAGGAAGGCTGCATCATATCATCTTGTAGTCTACCAAATGATTCTCAGCACCTCAATTAAATTCTCAACAAGTTTAGTGTATTTGTATATAAAAAATCAGCATGTGTTTTATATCCAGTGGTGAGATATCCATATTCAAATCTGTTGCATGTCTTGTCAAATCTAATATTTGCTTAGCCCTCAACAACTTTTCCCGACCTTGCATGTATTGCTGCCAACTAATAGGGGTGGATCGAAGGGTTAGTGAGCATGATTGTCTTTTGAAAATTTCTAATTCTCGTATAGTTTAGTTAGTTTTTATATTTTTTTATTGATAATATATTTTCATCTCTCATAATTTTATAAATTTATCTCATAATATAAAATTTTATATTCATCTTTACCTATAAGAACATTCCACAATAGTGAACAGTACTAAAAGGAACTTTGCAGTGGAATTCTTTGCCATGTCTGCTGATTAGCCACTTTAGCACATAGAGGCAGGCTACCCCTAATTTTGATTAGGAACAAACACAAAATTTTATATTAAGCTAACGAATTTATAAAATTTTAGAGGGAATAAATTTAAAAAAAATTAAGAGATAAAAATAGAATATCAATAAAAAATATAAAAATAAATCTAAAATATATAAAAATTTGAAAATTTTAGACAACTATAAATTCATCCCCAGTAGTAACATACTTGGGTTCAACCCCAGAAAGCAACATGTCCTGAGATATGGAGGACGCTGGAAAATTCTGAAATACACACAAGGTTATAGTAGTAGGGTAACTAAACGGATGATTACTATGAACTTAAATAAACGAGGTATTTTATTTTATTTTTTAATAATATTATAATATTATTTTATGGTGATACATATATTATAGTTAATAATTTTTTATTAGTGTATGATAAAAAATGAAACTAAAACAAAACTTTAAGTATGATTTAAAAAAAATAGTTGAATGACTAAAACAGAATAAAAATATCAGTTAAGGTACCAAAGGTGTAGTTTACACTTAATAAAAATAACATCAGGGTCAAAATAACATTTGACCGAAACACAAAATACGACCATTTATGTGATAGACTCTTCTCTTCCCGCAATTCTCTAGAAGCTCTTAAAACCGCCTTCTTCCCAGGTTTCTTAAAATATTTTCTTATTAGAATTGTGATGTAAAGGAGCAATTGAACTATTACAGGTACAACCAAGAAATCTTTTTCCCAGAAATCTTTTGTGAAAATTGAAATTATCATACATCAATTGTAAATCCAAGAGAAAGAAAGTAATGAGATCATCGAAACGGAGAGCTGCAGATAACAGTAGAGGAAGCAATAATGGCTCTGACCATTTACAAACCCTCCACCAACGTCTTAAACATGCTTTAAGTCTTGGTACCGCCAGGTGAATTCGCCCCAGTTTTTATTTTTATATATATATATATATATATATATATATATATATATATTTGTTTTTGTTTTTTATCAATTACTCAAATTGGGTCGTTTATGGGCAGACCGAGTGATGATAAAGATAGGAAATGGAAGTGTACGGATTTAGAAATTCAGAAGCATGTGGTTCGATCCCTTGCTGCTTTTCTTGATTCTTCTTCGGGAGCTTCCTCCAACCATCGCCTTCTCAAGGTTGATCTTTTTAAGGGATTGTGAATCTTTTGGTTGTTTTGATTATTGAGAATAATCTGTACGTTACTACAAATTAATGCCTGCTTGTGGTTTTTTCCATTCCGCATTATTAGAATATAAAAACATAATTTTTATTGTGAAGAATTAGAAATTAAAAAGCTTAGCCATTTGCTCCCTATTTCATTAAATCCGAGTTTGCCTTTTAATTATTTGCTTTCTTGGTTCAAAGCAACTTCTGTGTATGAAAAGCGTATCAAGAGGCGAATGGTAAAAGTAGAAAGTAAATTGATTACCTAGTTATGAAACAAAACCTCTTTTGTCTGAGTAGTTGATAAATGTTAGTTCCGGGGTTATTTGTGTTCAACCATGCTTCTTTTAACAATTTTCATGTTTTGGCTTCCATTTCCAGGATTCTCTTGCTGATATTGTTGAGGCATTGGTGTGGATTCTGCACTGTAAAAGTGAAGCCATAATAAGCATGACGGTAAATGTGGTGGTGAAGTTGGTCAGCAGTAACGGTTCAATGATGCAATTGTACTTGACAGATCTCGTCAACCCTTTGTCATCATTATTATGTTCCGACAATTTCGAAGTTGCTACTTCCTCTGCCACAGCTTTGAACATGGTCCTTTCCAATCTAAGTGCAAAGAGGGAGAAACAAGTTTGGGATATAGTCAAAGATACAAAGATTCTTATTCAAATTATTAGGATTATCCGAGAATTTCCTGGTAGCATCCGGCCCATTGAGAATTTTCAAGAGATGGCTTCCCTATTGTATACAATATTGTGGCGGTGGCCTCAATCTCGTTATTTTGTGTGGAATGATACTATTTTGATCAAAGTTTTAGAAGATAGATTTACTAAATCTCATCTATCTACAAAAGTTTCAGTGTTGAAATTGTATTCTGCATTAGGTAATGAATCATCTGTCAACTCACTTGTTTTTATCCCTCAATTTCTGGATTGAACAATTTCATATCTCTTTGTTCCAGCTCTATGCAATAAAGTAGCCAAGGAGCTTCTGGAAAACGGTGAAACAATTCTAACAATGATGGTTTCTTGCATGGATGGTTCAGAACCTCTGGCGATTAGGATAGAGGGATTTAGACTTGCCCAGCATTTGGCGGTAATGGTTAGAATTTGTTTTCTTTCACATATATTCTCAACAAATGTGTTTTATTGTTGTTTGTGTAATTTTTTACATTCGTTACTTAGGCAGATGAACAGCGATGCGTAAAAATGACAAGCTTTTGTTCTGGGCCTCTAATTAAAGCCATTATTGGAGGAATGAGAGTATGGAGGTTGGGCGCTGGAAAGGGTGCAAATGATCTGATGTCTTTGCTAGATGAAGCCTGTAGGTTGGCTCTAATTAGTCGCTGGCCGGGAGAACATCACCATCACTTTTGGGAGCAAGGGATTGACGAAGTTCTTCTTGATCTACTTTTTGAAAATTTTGACAAACAAGCAGTGAAGCATCCTTTGTCACCTCGGGAACAAATGTTTATTGCTCAGGAAGGCCTTGATAATAATTTTCTTCTTGCGCTAAGACCATACATCTGGGAGATTTTTGGATGGCTTGCTGTGCACTGTGCGAAAGATTTTAGACCAAGAACGGATCAAAATGAGCTCTGTATTGACATGCTTATCATGTGTGCATGGTGATTTTCCTCTTCATCAATAACTCCTGTTTTTCCTATCCAGTTATGTGCATTTCATGTTTTTGTTGATATGTATTTTAATTCTTTGTTATAGTGTTGTGCTCTTTTTTTTTTAACCACTCAGATATTCTCATTAGGCATGCTAATATTTTTTGATAGCTTGTCTTTTGTAGAAGCAATTTGCAAAGGATGCCAAATTTGCGAAAACAATGATGCCTCTAGAAGTGAGTCATCATCACGAGCAGTTTTAGTGATGATGCATTCTAGCAACACATATATTGGGTCAAAAGTAAAACTCATCCTTTCTGGTGTTCTAGAGATGAAGGGAAATGAGTGTCTGAAACGCTTGCTGCGTTTTCTAGATTATGCGTCATCAGCAAATAACTTTGGGTCACCAAACATCCCTAAAACTGTTTTTGAATTGATTGGTTTGATTTGTTATTCTGAATTGCCTCAATATCAAAAAAATGTTATTAGAGGTGATGGGATGAAGACACTAGTGACTTCTATAAAAAGTTGCTTGAGCAATCAAGTGTGTACTAAGAGGAGAAGCTTTGCCCTTCATTTCTATAATAATGTGTATTATGAGAGGTCGTGTTGCTGGATGACTGTTGAAGAGTGGGAAGGAAAAGACGCTCTTTTATTTTACAGTTTGTGGGGACTAGCTTTGTTTTTACAGCATTCCTCTGCTATAGATCATACTCATATCAAATCTCATTTAATAAAGACAGTGCAAGAAGTCTTGGATAATGTATCTGCTACTGGGCCAAGGTGGTTGGCTGCAAATATTCTTAGTTTTTTTGGTGTTTATGGTTTCCCCGGTAAACAAGACAGAGGTTCTGGGAAAGCACTTGAAGACAAGGAGCATACTGATCTGCAACTCTTTTTCGCAAATGGTGAGTCTGTGAGTGTTCATAAAATTGTTCTTGCAGTCCGTTGTCCATCATTGCTACCCCCTGAGCAGTTTCCCCAGATTGCAAAAACAACTGATAATGTTTTAGTAAGAGATATTCCAAAGAATCTCTACTCAATATTGCAGAAAGAAGTCCGTTTGTCTGCTCTTGTTGATCAGCAGGCTCTACTGAAGTTGTTGGACTATGTTTACTATGGTTATCTTGAAGCAGGAGAGGAGCTTGCAAGGAAGTTGAAAACTCTGGCTAAATCTTGTAACATGCAACCGTTATTCCAAATGCTTTGCAGAAAGATACCTAAGTGGGGTACTCCAATTCCAAAAACTGATTTGACTGACGCTCTTGGTTCATTTGGGTTCCAATTCACGTGAGTCTCTCCCTAGTCCCTGCTCCTCTCTTTCCTTAGTCATATCCTGATGCATTACATCAGTAGAATTGTCTGCCATTCCAATCTCTACTTTTGCATCTGATGTAGCAACTTCACTGCAGATAATATTATGGAAGTTCACTTACAAAAAGATATGCTAATTTACTGTTAATTTGCTGCCTGCTGTTAATTTATGTTTATGTATTGTGAATTAGAAGTTGTTATATTCTTGTTTCAGGGATATAATCTTGGAAGCTAAAGGGACAGAACAAATGTCCTGGGCATGCAGTTTTTGCTCTCTATTGGTTCCGCACATGCATGCTCACAAAATCATACTGCAGTCAAGGTGTAAATATCTACAAGCTTTGTTTCTATCTGGAATGCAGGAAAGGTGTGTATAAACCACTTTTCTCTTCCTTTTTACTTTTTGAAGTTCTAATTTTTGTCACGCCTTGGCATGATAAGTGATGAAAGGTGTGTGTTTTTTTTTAAAAAGAACTGTCCATTAGCCAGGCAAGCTATATTGTTGTTACTACAAATATCAGACAGGTTGAAAACCTTGAAATATTATGACTTCTTTTTCTGTTGGGTTAACTAAAATTAGACAAATCTCTATATTCTATATTGGTCAATTAGTGTTTTACTCAGACTAGTTTGAACGTATGTTGGCCTCTTCAATGTTGATTATGTGTCAAATGGGTTGACATTTAACCAAATATCAAGACATTTACTTCTTATTATTATGGTATAAAAGAGGCCAGTGGTCCTGAATATGACAACTAAGCAATCTAAGGTAACCAACACCCACTACATCTGTCTGCTAGGAGGAGAGATTTCAAGCCACAAGGAGCTTGATGATGAATTTTTAATCCTGCTGCATCTGAAATACTTTCATTATAAGGTCAGCAATACAACTTTTCTTGGAATGTGGGAAAGCTTTGGAGTTCTGGCATCGAGGATTCTTTTATTGCCTGGATGATAGAAAAAGTGGATGTTGAGGTGGGGTGTTCTGCTTGATTAAGAGCATAGAACTTAACAAATCAGATTGAACCTCCACTCTTTCAAATTGCATATTCTTTGCAACTTCAGTCTTGTGATAGATTGCCCGAAGTTCTGCCAAGGCAAATGGACAATCATGTAAGAAGCCAGCAAATCCAATCATTCAGTTTTTCCATTCTCCTCCGAATTCACCTCCTCTTCGTGCAGCTTCCATGAACATTTAGCTGAAGCAATCTGGTTTGTCCCGATTTAGAAGAACTGCCAGTTTAGGGACTTTAGGAATCTTGCTATCAGAGAATATAAGCCATTCTTTGACCACTTTAACAATGTTGTCCCATTTGACCAAGGATGGTATTCTGAATTATCATATTTGGATAGTTCAAAGACATCAATTTCCTGCTAAATGACATTTTTCTTTCTTTGGGGTTTCTAATAAGCCAGGAATCGTATTGTCCTGTCCTTTTATGCCATAACACTTTTCCACTCTCACAGTTTGTTATCTTAGCTTTTCAATTCTCAATCATCAGAATCACCATGTAATTCTGGACGTTTCAATCATTCATTTCTTGATTGCTTTGCGTGGTAGTGTATTGACTGCTTCGGTACTTATTAATTCTTGTATTGTGTTTTAATGGATTTTTTCTGAAACAGGAGATGATTTGTCTGCCTTCATTTTAGTTTTGGTTCTTGTTATTTTCATTTGTCTTTGGTTTATGTTCACTGCAAAGGTTCAATTTGTTTGCAGCCATTCACAAAGCATAAAGGTTCCTGTGAGTTGGGAAGCATTGATCAAGTTAGTTCAATTGATCTACAGTCATGAGCTGCCTGATCCTCCCTTTGGATGTGTGTGGGACAATATGGACACTGAGGAAAGGCTATATGAGCTGAAACCTTATGTAGAACTGTACTGGCTGGCCAAATTTTGGATTTTGGAAGATGTTCAAGAAGACTGCTTCACAACTATCACATCTTGCTTGGATTCCGATAGACATTTAGCTGTTGAAGTTATGAAACTTGCTTATGGTTTCTCTCTGTGGAAGCTAGCGGAGGTAGCGGCAGATTACATGGCCCCTCTTTATCCTAAACTCCGTGACTCCGGTGTTCTTGAACAACTTGATGATCTGCTAATTGAGTTGGTTCGTGATGCTTCTGTGAGGCTCACTCAAGAGCGGTAACCTCTATCGATGATATCATATAACCTATAATATACGAAGGTGATTAGTGAAGCATTATTATCAGGGTAAGAAGTGTTGAAGCCATTTCTCATACGTCTAGTACCATCCAGTGAAAAACCAGATACGAACATGCTCTTCATGTAGATTTTGCGTACACTATTTTAACAATCTATGTTTTACCTAAGACGTCCTGGTCATACATAACTGACGAGCCCTGTGTCTTAGTTGGCCTGGTCCGTGACAGGACGGAACAGTTCAACTGTGAATTAGGTAAGAAATTTTGGTTAGGATTGATATACACGTGTTATGATGAAATGAATGAGTAATTTTAAGGATATGATTCATTTTGTTGTGACCAAAGTGATCCGTTTGGTAGCTAGCTCTTCAATATTTGCCTTACATTTTGTTGTAGAGGAGCGGCCTGTAAAATGTCTTTCTTGTTGTTGAGTCGTCGCCTGTAAAATGTCTATTTTGTTGTTGAGGAGTCGACTGTAAAATGTCTTGAAGATTTTGCTTCAAATAGTAGACAGCTTCATCTTTGGAAGAGTTGCAACACATTAAATAAATACATCTTTGTATTAATCAGTAATGCTTAGTACATTATCCCACTTTTGAATTATATATTTTTTTCTTTGATTTTAATAGCTAAGCTATCACTTCATCTTATTGCGTCCTGCTTTAGTATATAAACCATCATTATCTTTAATAACCAAACACGGCACATTGTTATTGATCGATGAGCAACATTGCAGAGATGACGCCAAAGGCTCTTGAGAAATTTACACCAACACCAAGACAATGCCCAAGAAAAGACGGTATTTCATAAAAGGAAACTCTACCAATATTAAAGCTAACACCATTTTAATTGGATTGACAATGTAACAATATCACATACCACCCTGCATGCCGCACTATTTGATTCTTTATTCAGTGTCTGCTACATTGCACGGCAGTTGTTCGGGAAGCAGGATATCTTCTGCACTCAACCACCTATACACTGACCAACTACAACCCCATACACAGAAGTTCTATCAAAATGATCTCCAATCTATGGAAAGAACCCCAGGAAAGGAAAATCCCTGCAAGGTTCTATCATACATACAGATTGCTAGGCCCATTTAAAATGTATCGAATAATAACAGAAAAAAGAAGCATGTTACTATTAAAGATTAAAGCACATCAATTAGTAAAACTAGATTTGAACCATAACTTACGTATCCTTAGAGCTTCACCTGGACCACTCTGGGTGCTCCTCCATAGGCAGCAGCCAAACATGAAATGGTATAAGCTAATTGCGTTGCTTACAGCACGTAGTACCACATCGCTGTGGCAGTCCAAATGTGTGCGAATTTTAGTTTGTCCCTCTAATTTATCATGACTGCCCTACGAGCATAGACCGCTGAGAGAGATCCCATATCAGCTTTTTCTGCTGCTCATTAATATGTGGTAGACAAGCATGTAACAGATCGATTGTCATTTCTCTTTTAATCGCTTTTGCAGCATCTGATTCATCAATCACCATATTCGGTTTGACCTACATACGCAAGGACTGCATCACCGTATCATATTTGTTTATACAATACTTGGTAAGAAGTTTAAAGAATTCATTAAAAGAGGTCTTCCAAAGGGACTGATTGCTCATATTGCGATCGCCACCAGCTCTAAGATCGGCTACAAGTTTTGTTGCCCTGTCAAGAACGCACTTCAAAATAAAAGATGCCCCATCTCCAGCAGGACTTCCAAGAGGACGAAGTGGAGGCTGCTCTGAGGAACAAACCACAGCTGCAAGACAGAAAGTAAGTGCATGAATATCCATCTCATGAACACACGAGGACACAACCTTTGCAAGTTTAGTAATAGTTTCAGCTGCTCCTGGATCAGAGGGAAGGCCTCCAAACAAGAACCTTAAATGACGGAAAATGGACATGCAGACAACCCGCATGAGATCACCATCTTGAAAGAGAAGCTGAAGGTACCTTGCAAGCAGCTTCCGGCCTTTGGGAAGGGCACTATCCGTAAAAAGACAAGATCATCCTTCTGAGTGGGCTCATCTGTGTGGCCATTCTTGCCAAGAGGGTCAACCAATTGAAGTGATGCTGCCAACCCTTCCAATAAAACCTGTCTTCTTTGTCTCAGCTGTGCTCCACCATCCTGTAACTGGTTAAACTGTAAAAACCGTTCAATATCATCTACATCAAGAAGAAGGCATAGACCATCCTCAATTGTAACTCTAGCAGCAAGCATTGGTTCTTGTTCCAGGGGCATATAAGAAGCTTTCTGATCATTGTTGTTGACAGCAGATGAAGTTGGAGGGTCAACTTCCAGAAGAGGACGAGGCCTCCGAATTGAAGAGAAAGGAACCCTCCCAAGAGCATCAACCTGAAGAAAAGCACGTGGCTCAGCATTTGCATGTGCTTGGGGCGGAAGATACCTCAGATGGGTTGGGCAGAAATGATGTCAGATTTTCTTGCAAGGCAAGCCTGGTGGTAATAATCATCCACATAGGGGTCGTTACTGTGAGTTGCAGCAAGCTGCATCCTGAGAATGCCTTCAATCTCATCAGGTGACATGTATTTGGATCTAAATTGAGGCCATCCAATATCAAAGCCCTGCTGAGAAAATCGAGGATTTTGCCTACCTTTCTGAGATGATTTAGGTCTGTGATCTCCAATACCAAGTACAGCTTCAAATTGGTTCATTCGAGGTGGGGAAAGAGAACGATGAGGATTAAATAGTTGAGACTGAATCCCTGACAAATGGTTAAATGATGCTGAACGGGATGCTGCAGTCTCTGCTGGGCCACTGACATCTGTGGCATTAATTGAGGTGGAATTAAACCATTTTGATGGGATAACTGTTGCTGCAAAATATTGTTCAAACACTATAACCATCTCCACCATATAATTTGGGCTGGCTTCCCCATTGACCTGATGCACAGTTATTGACAGACATACCAGGAATCAGTTTAGCCATGTTCCCACCATACCCATGATGTAAACCTGGCATTTGAGGCTGAGAATTAGAGAAGGTGGAGGGATTTGGTGAAGACATCATCTGTGATCAACGAAACATATATGGTATATTCAGTTGGCCAGAATGTTGATTTGGTGAAGCCTGAGGAGATATGCCACGAGGGGGAGGGTATGAAGTATTAGAAGATTTGGAACTAGAATTGGTTCACTAGAGAAATGTAGATGGTGTTGTTGTGGATGCTGCTGCTGTGGCTCAGGGTAAGAGGATGTCCTGAGGAGATGCTTTGGGTCCAAATTGGGCAATGGTCGTGATGACCGGTGCTTGCCTGCAGGAATAATTTCAGTTTCAAGAGCCTGCTGGTCAAACCAGTAAGGAAGTTCCTCCCCGTGTGCCCATTCAGAGATGAACCTGGAAATAATGTGATTGAAAGGGATAGCACGGCAAGTAGAACTTGGATACTCTATTTCCAAATGAAAAATATTTAAATATGGATGATATTTTTTATAATTAGGATAAAATTAAAATAATGTGTATATGTTAAGGATTAAGTTTATTTTTATGTCAATTTTTTTAACTATCATATTAATTTTCAATGCACAATATAACGGCATACGATTATTTTCTAATGTTCGATAACTCGAATGATTAATTTGTAATATTTTAAACTCATATAGCCAACTAATAACTTACCTATAGTTGAATAATTATCTAAACAAGTTTATCCTAAAATTAATCGAGTAATTCAAATAATTTGAATTATTTAATATTGTTAATGGTACAACATAAATGTGATGATTATCGTACTATAACGATGGTTCAATCTTTTCGCTTTGAACATAAAATCTATATCGATGAATGTTGGAAGTGAGATTAGGATTTGAGATCAGTCTACGTGACATAAGTTTGGGTGGGGGGAATAAAGAGGGTATAGAAAAAGTTTGAGCCTTTTGGGTCTCACTCTAAAAAAAGAGGGAGAATTTCTTATATAGATGATGTTCTTCTGATTATTTGGCATTTATGGATTGATAGATGATCAAGAATATACTGTATAAATATGTTGACTTAAACTGTTATGAAATTTATTATGTCAACTCAATGTTAACTAATTGACAAGGTTAACAGCCTAAATGAATTAATATAACACTTGTCTCCCTTTAAGAAAAACAATAATATATGATAATATGATCCGATGGTGTTTATATTTTTTACTTATTTAGCCGAAGTTGATTTATAAGAAAAAACACAATTTTGGTGTTGTACCGACCCATTAATACACTCCAAATAAGATCAAATGCTTTATAGAGCCCAATGTTGGAGCTCCATAACACCAATACTCTTGGATCCTTCAATTTGGAGCGGAACTGTAGCTCTTCTATACTTGTCAACATGAAGTTTGTTTCTGATCTGTTTTGTGTTCATGAATCCAGGTTTCTAGTAGTAGAGGGAATCTATAATTCTTTTAAGTAGTGTTCTATGTTATTTATTCTTACAGGGGATGATTTTTCTTTTCTTCCAATTTTGTCCAATCGTGGGCAAATTCTGCCTCATATGCAATGAGTTTATGTAGCTGCATGATTATGTTTTGGGATTAGCAAAAACGATGACATAGTAAGTAATTGTGGAAGATTAAAGTTTATGTTCAAGTATGTTGCTCCTTTGCACTGATCTCAGCAAGGGTTCTCCCATCAGCGAGTCTAGTTCTTTATGTTGACTCACTGAGCAGTAATGTCAATGAAGGATTGGCATGTTAAATACTTCATGACATGATTTGATACATAATATTTTAAACGACTTGGTCTAATATTTCCTGTGATCTATGGTTTTTTAATCGCCCAAGAATGTGATCACATGTTCATTTTAAGGCATTGTATTTTGTAATATTACTCGACGTTCGGTTGGTTTTTTGTCTAGAAGTTTTGATAATTATTTGTACATGCTCTACTTTTGTTTCTGCAAATTATGTTTCTTGAACTTTGTTTTTGATGTGGAACTATATTCTGTGTTTTGAAGTCATCTCTTGTGTTGCAGAAACATCCCGTCATTAATCTCAAAAATTGCTTTTGGAAAACTATTTAGAGATATGCCCCTTGGTATTATAAGGTTCTCAAGATAGAGAAGCCTGGTGCAGTGTATGATTAATTTACAAGATCAGTCGTGATAATTGCCAAATTTGTACTCCACGAACCTGTTCAATAGGTCTCAGTCTCATCTTGGTTTTGTGGCTCGAAGAGGTGGATCTCCTAGATGACCACCAGAGTCTCCCCGATGTCGAGTGGATTCTCCTGTTCGACGTCGTGGTGAAATACCTCTGAGGCATCGCCCTGCTTCTCCTCGTAGTGGACGTCTCCTCCAAAGGGCTTAATCTCCCACAAGTTTTTTTATTTTATAGTTATGATAGGTTAATATCTATTGTCATTGTGAATTGGTTTTGAAAGAATTTGATCAATTTTATCTTCTCAGGGCATCTCCTCGTAGGATGCGTGGTAGTCCAATCCGAAGACGTTCCCCTCGTCAAGGTGCCCGTAACAAGATATTTGAGTAATTTTCCCAAGGCTTAAACTCTATAAGTGAACTGGTCATAACATGTTAACGAATGAATGAATGCATAAGATCATTGTCAATCTGAGGAATCATAATGGCATCAAACACAAACTAAGAATTGTTAGTTATGCAGTCATATTATTTTTTATTCATATTGTTGGCTGTTATAAGTGACTTTTCTCTTGATATTTTGTTGGTATCAAGTGTGGATGAGCTCATACAAATTATAGCTCAACCATACCATTTACTGTAATATGGGTCTTTATGCTATTATCATGACGCTCACGTTGTCCTAGAAGGTTACTTGTTTGTTTCATGCATCCTCTTGCAAGCATTGAAAATATTACTACGATTTTCTAATACAGTTATTGTTGGCAAGTAATCGCTTTATTCAAAGCTAGAATTTGGTGGGAGAATCAGGATTTTAGGATTACCTATTTCTAAG